CATCCACGATCACGCACCACGCGGGGCTCGAACCCAGGACCTACTGGCTTCGCGCGCGGGCACTTAACCACTAGACCACTGAGCCGGCATCCAACGGTGTTAATGTCTAGCCCCGCGTGGTGCGGGATCGTGGATGCGCACTGCTGAGGAGTCCCATACCAGGACGAAACGGCCGTCCAGTGCTTCCAGGTTTTCAATGGTGGTCTAGCTTCAACTGACTCATGATTTCAACTTGTGAAATTTCTAAAAAACTCTCCACAAAACCCATTCTGATAATAATCAACTGCTCACTAGTGACTGACTTCAGGAAAAACTTCTGGAGTTCTAGTGAGAAGCCGTTACCAGTGGAGTTCAATAGGTCTGTTGTGAGATAACAACTCACTGAAGACAATGGTGTACGGTGGCGCAACTTCGTGGATTGGTTGAAGTTAGACATTAACACCGTTGGATGCCGGCTCAGTGGTCTAGTGGTTGAGTGCCCGCGCGCGAAGCCAGTAGGTCCTGGGTTCGAGCCCCGCGTGGTGCGGGATCGTGGATGCGCAGTGCTGAGGAGTCCCACACCAGGACAAAACGGCCGTCCAGTGCTTCCAGGTTTTCAATGGTGGTCTAGCTTCAACTGACTCATGATTTCAACTTGTGAAATTTCTAAAAAACTCTCCACAAAACCCATTCTGAAAAAAATATTAAATTAATAATTTGCTGTTACTATTATTGTTTCCGTTTATTTCACTGATTGTGACATTTTATCGTTATTTTTAGAATTAGATCAATTTTCTTCCACTTTTCAATATTATTTTATTTTAGTTTGTTTAGATGATACTTTTTTATAATCTGTACAAAATTCTTGTTGTTTCTTTTAAAATACTCATGTTAATGTAGTCATGTGAAATCGGCTAGACAGTTCGATATTGTTGTTAGAATTATATGAACACATAAATTTTATACGCCAGACAGTTGGGAGGGTAAATATCACCAAATATCTGAAATGGTAAATGTCAATATAAATATTTATCAACGTAGTTAATATATTAGATCTAGTCACTGTTACATTATATCATGTTTCCTGTTCTCGCAATCAGATGATTTAATTTTTATACTGTGCTGTGAGCTTCTATGTAGAAAGATATAAGTAGTATCTATCAGGGATAGGGAGTGGAATAAGCACCGGCAGAAGATTGAAATGAGGAGAACAGAAAGGAAAGCGGAGAGCAGTCGGAATAACAACAGAATTAGAAAAATGATGGAGTTTGTAAAAGATAACTGATGGAAGATTTGCAAATGATATATTTAGTGTATGATTTTCATATTTCACGAAGGCACTGTGTGATTTTGCGCAAAGTAATAAATTGGCTTATCTTACCTAAGTTTTCGTTCACTACTGTAGTACTGAAAATTGTGGTCTATAGATTTAGCATAAAAAATGATATGACTACCTTCAATTCATACCTCTTTTAGATACTGTTCACATGATCAAACTACATACCAAGTCAGGAGACAGATGTGCAACAATATTCAGTTGCTAATCTGTTTAGAAAAAAATTAAGACTTGACTGGCAAAGACTTTACATGTCTTTTTTTACTGGGTTTTAAAAACATATTAATCTAATCACGTGTTCATGAATACAGTGTAGACAACTCAGATTTACTTAACACATGACTGATATAGATTTGAAAATAAAGAAAATTTATGTATTTACGTATGTATTCAACAGATTGTCCATGATCGTTAGAATGACTAATAATGACTATGCATGGTCCGCATGCTAACTAATCGTTGAAATACAATTATAATTCATCTGAACTGAAATTCAGGCTCTCGTCTTAATTCATGTAAATAGCACAACTTTTAAAAGAAGTACGCTGCTATTTGTCAGATTATTACCAAAAGCTTCCCCATAATGAGAATTCTTCATTTGTGCCAATACACTGAGGAGTAAAGAATCTGTAACTAGTAATTAGTACAAGTAAGTCCACAAGACCAATTCATAAGATAAACGAAGAAACTAAGCAAACTAGCAAGTTTCTGGTAGATATAAATAGTCAGCAATATTAGTTTGTTATATGTAGTTTGTAAATAATCTTCCAACCAAAACCTTAATACGTTTAAAAGTATATTATTTTTGTAAACCTGATACAATTAATTCTCCTCAGATGCTTCTCAGCATTTAGGTTATTTCGATATGAGTCACATGTAAATTCTGGAAATAATTGTAGATTTAGTTAGAATAAGTTGGTAAATTATGAAAACTGAATAATACAGTAATATAGTTCCAGCAAAACGAAACCAGAACTCTACATTAAAAAGGATAACTATTTATTGTTCTTAACTGATATTATGTAATTATCAGTGGTAATTTGTCATTTCTACAAAGATGTTGGTTTTAAATATTTTTTGATAGAATATTCATTTACTTATGAATAATGAATCATATTTCGATTCCCACAATTTCTACTAACCACGATTTTTTTTAATATTTGCACTATCACTTATATCATTTGCTACATTCTTGCCAACTGGATAGAAATGCAAATTAATATATTTAATTAATTTATACCTAAACAACGAAAATGAATCTCTAAAATTAATGAATAATTCATATCTCTCGTTACAATTCGTGTCCATACTCTGTCCACTTTTATTAATATATAGAAATATACAAATACTTTCTAAAAATGCCTCCTTTTTCATTCTTGAAGTCACTTAATGGTACATTGATTACGTGATATAAGTTGCCCAGAAAAATTACATGTTTTCAAGAAAAAATATGTTTTGGACAATCCTTCCACTTATTTTAAAGATTAAATATAAGCTAATGAATAGATAAATAAAGTAGACTTAGAAGACAGTAAAATTGTCGAAATATATTTCATGAATTGATTTAAATTTGTAAACAGATCTGTGATAACTAAGAAACAAAGTTTAGATTGATTGATTGCTTTGCTCATCTACATGTAGTTAAGAGTTCTGCACCAAATGTTTATCTTTAAAGACGTGATAATAAATCACGTGAAAATTCCATTCACGGTTATTAGAACTCATACTGTTAACACTTTGACAAGATGTATATACCTAATTAGATTTAGTACGTGTATCAACCAGTAATTATTTACCAAAAATTACTGTCACTCAATAATAAAGGAAAACTAAAGAAATTAGAAAATCTTTATAACTAATTTTTAGTATCTTGATTATTTTTAGTTCAACCGGATGTTTCTCTCTTAAGTTACAATAAAAATTTTAATAAATATAGTGAATTAAAGGAAATTTCACTGCATTGAATGTGTTTAACAGATCACTTTGCTATAAGCAAAACTGTTCCAAGTATTTCTGTTTTTGTTAGCCACTGTGAATTGACTGAAGTTAAATATGAAAGCTATTAGATACTGATTCAGTGATTAAAAAAAGTTAAGTGCTCGCATCGAGGCCTGATGTTTGTAAGTGTTAAGGGGTAATCGATGAACTGTTCTGAGTTCCATACTATTGTTCAGTGCCTTTAGGTTTTCATAGCTGTTTAGCTACAATCAATCAGCGTTGTCGAACTATCAAAAAGTATCGATTCGTGAAAGTGTTCACAGTCGTTCTTCAGTGTTAATGATTTCATTTTCAACTTCACATAAATCATAATTTTCCACTGAAATGTTCATATTAGAAATGATATTGTTATTTAATTATTTCTATTTTATATAATTTATGGTATTATTAATTATTTGTTGAAATAATTTTTGATCAATGAAAAAAAGGAATCATTTCTTAAAATAAAAAAAATGTCACACCTATTCCCATACTATTTACTGGGTGAAGGTGATGGAGTAACGCGTTACTTCAAATTTATTGCTTAATAGACATAAAAATAATATAAAGTAGTAAATAAAATTTTCCCTTATTGATTTACTAAGTAACGTGAAAAGTGGGCAAATTTCATGAGTTATGATTAAAGCACTCTAAAAAAACACAGAAAAGAACATTAAATTTGCTTAAACATGATGAAATTCTTTTGTTGAATCGATGTGAAATGCGCCACATGAGTCTATACAAACAAAAATGTCTACTTATTATAATATGACAATAGAGAAAGTTAATGTAATGTAACTTTTTAACTAAGTTTGACTTCACTCATTCAACTTTTGATCTACGCTTTTAGTGTAACAGCTAGTGGTACTACACAATTGACTAAATCAAACTAGGCGAAATGGGGGTTACGAAATTGCAACTCAATGATTAATAGACCAGCGTTTTTAGCTAATATGTCACTGCACTATCTGAAAAAAATGATAAGAGCTTATGCCATTTCTCAGATGATAATTACCTGATTACTGAAGTAAAACGCTTAAGCATAAAATTCGATGTATTTTTGTTGAGAGGTTTTGTAAAGATTCTTTCAATTTTTAATTGATTACTTGTCGCAATGTGACATTAATTAGCATGCCATTGAAAGCGTGAGAGCAGTAAATATTTATTTCATTTTGGTATGGATATCTCAGTGGCATTAACCCATCCATTTCTATTCTGCAGTAAATGATTTCGTGAATTATTAGTTCAAGACTGAGAAAAACTATGATAATAAGCCGTAGCAGAAGTTCGCTTTCTTTACTCACAGTATTAACAGTACTGACAGAAAAGAAAAGAATATTTTCATATTTTTTTTAGAAAGAATGATTCATTTATTCATATACTGCTCTTTTGCCGCTATACATTTTTCAATTTATTGTTATATTTTGTAACAAAAGGCAAGTCACTTGGGAAAAACCGTTTTTAGAAAAATTGTATTCAACAATTAGGATTTATGGAACTATTATCAATAATTTTTGACTAAACTATTGATTATTTCGCTTTATGAATGAATTTTCAAAAAGCAAAATGTTGAATTTGTTTAACTCATGTAACTCATTGCCAAATAATGACAATAATAATATTAATAATGTTGGTAATAATTACATTTTTGTTAAAAGCAGTTTTCCTTTGCTTATCTTTTTTTCCTTTCTCTAACTACATTACTTAGGTATATTTTTACGCCCATTACCACCACATTATCTCCCAGCTTTAAGATTATTTCGTGGGACATTTCTCCTTATATTCTTTCTTTGTTTATTTGGTGTAAATACATATGGATGGCGTTCATCTGGTGTAAATAATGTCCTTATTTTTGAATTGGATCCAAGAACACATTTAGATCATTTTCAATTATTACAGGTGAGCAGTGTAAATATTAAGACATATTAATAATATTACTATTGTTACTAATTAGACGATTTTTGTGATGAATAAATTTTATTTCTTCCTTCATGTGATATCAGGATATTAGGTTCTCATTTCTACTGAGATCTCACCTAAATTTATATTTGTAGGTAGGAAATCAGCATCTCATCTTGCTTGCACAGAATTTGAAGAATTTAACATAAATGTCACAAAGTAATAATGTTAGCTACCTAATAATTGAAAACGTTAGATTACTGACAAAATATTTTATTTCAGTTTAAAACTCATGTTATTTTGTATTCTAGATTGTTTATGAATTTCCTGATACCATGTTATTTTTGAAATATCAGGCTGCAATTAATTGCCCTCGATATTTTTAGTGTCCAAACATGTCATTCTGTTATGCCTCAAAGGGACTGCCGATTATATGACAGTGACTTATCGATCGGATCAAGGATTCAGAGACTCAATAGTCTATTCTGGTCCGTTGTCCCCAACTCTGCTAACTCGATCAAAAAGTCTGGGTAAGGTGTAGAAAGTGTATTCTACAGACAAACAGCAGATAACAAGTCAAGTCAAGCACACAAATCAAGCGTATTTATACAAATATTTACAATCGATATTGTCATGGAAGATTTTTGAACATTAATCAACAATTGACTGCTATTTGAACATTTAATCGATAGTTCATCAATTGACCTATTTGTACATTTAATCGATAGTTCATCAATTGACCTATCTGCACATTTAATCGATAAGTAAATTACAAAATTTGAGTTTTGGGGATCTATCGTCCCCAACACTCCTCCCCTTTTTAGAAGATCCGGAGTTGATATCCGGATTTTAAGTTTTCCAGGTCCATCCTCCCCCACGAAACAGTGTTGGATCCTCATATGCCCACGTTATAATTAACTTGAATTTATTTAAGACATATTTATCGCACTGAACAGAGAATTGACTGAAAGTGACTAAGTCTTGAGGCTGAACGACACTTGATATGAGGTGTTCGAAGTTTAATTCTTCTGAAATATTGTGACCAAATTTATTTGGAATCTTATTTGTAGATAATGAATCATCAAGGTAATTAGCATCTATCAAAATTGTATTAAGTTTTTGATCATCATTTGATGCATCTGACATATTTTCTGGTAAAAGAGAATCTTGATAATAAGATTTGTCAAAAACATCTGTCGCAGACTGATGAGAACCATTTGAAGCAGTTGTATTCAGTGTACTGCTCGATTTGTTTTCTGTTTCATGGGTGGTTATTGCGACAATTCTATGAGCATTTACCAGGGAGTGTGTTTGTGAGCTGGATAAGTCACCGTCTGCACATGCTGTTTTGGGGATAATGGAGTTTGAGTCCATTACCGGGCATGTTTCTGGAATGGAGAGGACTGGACCACTGGGCGAATCTTGAGTGACTGTTGTACCGTTTGAAATACGGTTTATCGGGGATTCATTGGGGCTGCAATCATTTTCCAGCTCTGTGTGCAGTTGAGAGATCAATCCATCCACTTCCGTTGCATCTCCAAAGCATGAGTGATTTAACAGCTGCGTGCGTAATTTGACTAAAAACTCCAACTGTCTTTCAAATAGCAGCTGTACTCGATCGGAAGGGAGAGTCATTTTTTTTATTCAGCACCGGTAATGAAAATTACTGTTTGATTAATGACCAATGTTGCTGAAGGACACTGATGACAAATCTGGATGCTGAAGGCTGACTTTGGATTGTTCTTTTTTTTACCCCGTCGCCAATTGTTATGCCTCAAAAGGGGCGCCGATTATATGACAGTGACTTATCGATCGGATCAAGGATTCAGAGACTCGATAGTCTATTCTGGTCCGTTGTCCCCAACTCTGCTAACTCGATCAAAAGTCTGGGTAAGGTGTAGAAAGTGTATTCTACAGACAAACAGCAGATAACAAGTCAAGTCAAGCACACAAATCAAGCGTATTTATACAAATATTTACAATCGATATTGTCATGGAAGATTTTTGAACATTAATCAACAATTGACTGCTATTTGAACATTTAATCGATAGTTCATCAATTGACCTATTGCACATTTAATCGATAAGTAAATTACAAAATTTGAGTTTTGGGGATCTATCGTCCCCAACACATTCAACGTCAAATTCAAGCATAAATCTTCATTTACCAATCGAAATTTTACATCGGTTATAAGTTTTCTATTGGAGTCTCTATAAATCTACCTCAAACTACAGCACTGTCGGGTAGTTGAGTGCAAGCATTTTGTTATAATTTCATAGCATTCTTGTTTATTTGAAATCTAGTCATGACCATCAACTTGTGTTCAAATATTGGTTTATTCCAAGGTAATAAAAGAGAGGTTATTGGTTTCTTTATGGTTTCGTATCTGATATCAGTAGTTTACCACCATATACCTTATAAAATCTGTCAAAAGACCTGTAAATAATTTGGAAGCTTTAAACAGAAAGATCACATTCTGCCTGGTGATTGTTAATCTACTTAGTGAAGGAACAAATATACTGCATATCATTTGGATCAGTAATTTTTTGAAATATGGCCTATAAAACTAGAACAAGTATCCAATTAGCCTTTTATTTGCTGTCATTCCGTGGCTATGGCAGTGCTAACATGTGGCACTCTTAAAAGTTTGATTATGAAGGGTGAGATCAGGAATTACAACATTAAGTGTGAAAAACGTTTGTTCTCCCTTTAATTAGAGCTTCGGATTAAAGCTTTTAGAATTTTGATTCATTTTTACTTAAATATGTAGGTTTATTACATTCACAACAAATCCAAAGAATAAACACAATAATCAGTCGGTCACTTCAAAGTAAACTGGTTTGTTAGAAAAACAAATACGCGGTAATATCCTGTGATAGTTTCTTTTTTCAACAAAAAATTCATCTGATTATGTGTCAACTTTTAGTTTTTACTGGTCTTATCGATCGATTTCAATTCATGACAACAGCGGTCTGTTAAGCCTTAATTCTATGTAAATAGTATTTTAAAAAGTTTGGTAAAATGTCTTCAAGTTAACTGGGAGGGTTTCACCTTTCCAAAAAGTCACTGTTTATAACAATGAGCACCGAAAAAACTTTCTTTATGATTAGAATGGTACTTTCGAATTTTAATGAAAGTAGAAACTACAATTAGAATTAAAAAATTGTTTATTTGAACACTATAGATCCTCGCTCAGTATCGTCAAATCACTGATATTATAAAACGTAACTTAGGCTTTGACACATTGGTTAAAGGTGCCACTCTTGTAGTAATGGTTGAAAAGCCTAGTTTGATCCTACATAGGGTCAATGTTCGTCACTGTTGAGCAGTTCCAAACGAGAACAGAACAGCTATCAGGTACTTCCTGGTTTTCAAATGATTCTGCAAGTGATGTTAATCCGTAACGGAAACTAGTTCTTTTCAGTAAATAATATTATAACATCAACATTTATAATTTGGTTAATTCATGTCTGTTGCTAATCCTTTCAGGTGAAGTAGGTCCCAGAAAATGTGTAGGAATATGCTATTTTCAGTGCGCGGATTATTTTACTAGCATTCTTTGCTACCGTAAAGTAGTAAATATTTAACCCATGTATTACTGTAAACTCATCCGAAAAGCATCGATACTCTGACCTGTTGATTTAAATCCATACTAATGGAAACTACTAATTGTCAGTCAACAATGATGACTTATGTTTGCGTGAACTGAGCGAAATATCTCTAGGATGTGTATATTTGTATACGTAGGTTAGTCGAGATTTCAGTACTCGATTAATCAATAACAACTTATATACTTGAGTACCGAGTGGTTTGAATGACTTTAAAATTTAGGTTGCGTATTCCACTCTAGACACTATATTACCTGTTAACATTAACGAAAGGTTTTTGTCCATAATATTTACCATAAAGTTTAAAGTTCACTTAAAACGTGTATCATGAACAGTATTCATTTAACATGATACGACATTTATTGTTGAATTTAGAGCTTCACTATGTGAGTAGATGAATCATTACTGACACAGCTTGCTATTCGATAATATTTAAGCGGTTAAAACATGACATGAAAATCATTTTTTTGTGTTTTGTGTTAATTTTGTTTTTGAACTACTGATCAAAATTAGTAAAACTGAGTTACTAATACTGACAATCCAATCATGCAAATCATGCATGAAGATTATGCTTCAATCTGAAGTTTGAATTCAGCTTTTTTCTATAAGTATTATTTTGAATAGATTCTATTCAGTAATTCATTGTTAGCGATTTAATTGTAATAATGATCAACTAAAGACAACCGTCATTAGCTGCTAATCGTATCTTCTGAAAAAAGAGCTATAAATGATGATACCATCGAACTGCCTTCATCGAGGTATGAAGAGGGAAAGTTCCAACCATCAAGCTACTAGTTTTCAGGAATATTAGACAATGACATATAAATTGAATTATTAATAACAGGTCACTTGATTAGTTTTATTTAGCCTTAAAGTGAGAGTGACAAATTGATTGATGTTATTGGTTTTCACACTTTAAATCCGTTTTTAATTACCTGAGTTTTAAACTAGAAAGCCTTGAGTTTAACAGTTTTATTATTCGGAATATGTATTAGTTTTTGCAAAGCTTTATAGGCTTGCGCTGTTTCATCAAGTAGATCAGAATCGCAATTTTCAGTACATTTCTTTTGTTAACGTAGACCTAGGGATTAATATTCTCTCTAACAAAAGATTTGATATGCGACGTAATTAAGCGGTTTGATTGTGGTAGACACTGATAAGAGAAATAGTTTAGCGTATTAAACAATAACTTATCCCTAGTATAGGGGTTGTGGAGATTATTAAGTTTTTGATTGAGATCATGAACCGATTGATGTTAGACCACCACAATTGAAAACCTGGAAGCACTGGACGGCCGTTTCGTCCTATTGTGGGACTCCTCAGCAGTGCGCATCCACAATCCCGCGAGCGGGATTCGAACATGTGCTCACTAGTGACTAGCTTCGTGAGGGAATTCTCGGAGTTCTAGTGAGAGGCCGTGACCAGTGGAGCTAATCCTTGTCGGGTAGAGACAGGTATCTACCTCAGTACAACGGAAGTTGGTCGCGCAATTTCGTGGATTGGTTGATGTTAGAAACTATCACCATTGGATGCCGGCTCAGTGGTCCAGTTGGTTAAGCGTTCGCGCGCGAGACCGAAGGCCCTGGGTTCGAATCCCACTCGCGAAATCGTGGATGCGCACTGCTGAGTAGTCCCACAATAGGACAAAACGGCCGTCCAGTGCTTCCAGGTTTTCAATTGTGGTGGTCTAACATCAATCGGTTCATGATCTCAATAAAAAAAATAACTTATCCATTTGCATGAATAATGTTTTAGATGGCAACCAAGGTAATTGATATCTTTTGAGATCCTTCAACCAAGGAACGCGCTGCGTGTATTGAGATACTCAAGGTTAATTCTTCACCTATAGTTTTCGCTGTTGATGTTTGTTGTTATGAAGAATTTCTATTATTAAAGAATCTGAAAGAAACCATGAGTTCCTCCAAGATTACCAGAAAGCCATTATATCCAATACCATTCAATTAAATCATTTTACAAGTACCCGATGTCATTTTCGGTATTTTTCGCATAATATACAAGCCTATTCATACTATGACCTGACTGTATTTACAGAAAATAGTTTCAAATATCAGCTTGAAATAAAACGTATAATTCGAAAACTTGTATGATTCTGAACATTGTACTTAATTCGCACGATATTCATCAGTATCAGTTAATCTCAGTATTATATGACACATTTAGCTATGAAAATGAGGATCTGAAAAATATGATATTTTTTGTGTGCGTTTTTTGTCTATCTTTATCATACGTATTCTACAATTATCTCTTCACTTTTACTACTACGCAAACAATTTTCAAGTTAACATTCAAATAAAATCACGTCATTCAAAGGAAAAGTTTACGATTATAGATTTTTGAGCTTCTTTAACTAATGTCAGCCTTTGTGTTACTTCTAATCACTTTTTAATAATATTACAATTTGTAATAAGGTCAAAGTCACTGCATGTCAACCTATACAGTCTAAGCTTTCATACGCAGCTAGTTATTTTTATTCTATTATCATCTGACTGTTATTTTATGCTTTGTTTGTGATCGATTTTTAGACAAAAAATGTAATAACTATGTTACAAGTATTTTTTTATGGAATCTTATTCGAATTATTTATAGAGGTCGAAAGCGTCAAAGTGTTCTCTTTCGGTACTGGAGTAAGGTTCTAAATTAAAAAACCATAACACTCTTCAGTGTGGTAGATACTTGTATTTTGTGTTTCGATTATTATATTTATCTGGGTAAAGACTGCTTGAAAACTAATTCATATTTCATTTAGTTAAAAGATGCTGGGAGTTCTTCACACGGACGTCGTACATTATTTGGATTCCCCTTATTGCATCATCTTTGGTGCTGACGAAATGATTGTCGAAGGTCGTGTTTTATACAGTAGATCACTGTACATTAGTTGGTTGTTGTGATACATTGTTTACGAAGGCAAATAACTTGCCTAAGTTGCTAATATCTCATATTCTGTACACAATAATTTTAGTAGGAAAGAACCACCAAGTGAGTAACTGTAGGTTAAATGTAAGGTACTACTTTGGAATGGTTAGCCGATTGATTAGCGTCTGAGTTTTCGAGGACTAAACTGTTTATGGCTTACAGTAGTAAGTAGTATAGAAATACTTTGGAAAACGTGTAAAGACGGCTAGACCTTGATATATTCTCAATTGATAGGTTACTGGAATGAATCATATTTCGAAATCTGAACTTCCTGATCGTAGTCTAAAAGAGAGGGGTTTTATGTTATTGAATAATCTGATAAATATGGATTCAAATCAGTGTTAGAACGCATTCATTCGTTCTCTATTCTCCGTTTAATCATGAATTTTAGAAGCATCTCGTGTTTCCCATTATTCTGTTTTATTTGTCCCGTCGAATTATATATATCAAAGTTTTTATTTCATTTTAAAGATCAAGTGTTTAGGTTGGCCGATTAAAATGTTATTGTCACTTGCGTTGATTCTGCAAGAAATTATGATTAGTCTCTTATTTTACCATGGTCTTAGGATGGCTTCTGATGTCTCAAAATGTTAGCATCAATAAATACCTTATCTTCCAAGTTCTCCATATTCCTAAAGTAGACAATTGCTTTTTTTCATTCTTTGGAAAAGTTATTATTTTGTTATTACCTGTTAAACTATTACGCAACTTAGATCCGATACTTAAAAACTTGACAATTTTTCATTCCTTTATTAAATGGTACAACGTCTCTGCGTTTTATTATATTAGGTACTTGAAACTGTTTGACTGTTTTCAAAGGTCCTAGGTTTGATTCTCGTGAGTGGCGTCGTGGATGCTCACTGCTGAACACCCCTATACTAGGACAAGATGGCCATCCAGTGCTTCCAGGTTTATAGGAAGTTTTCAACAGTAGTCCAACTTAGATTGATTTATGATTTCAATGACATTTTTTACATGCTTGCTAAGTGAAGTAATAGTGTTCTATTTTACGATAAAATACCATAATTAAAACTGTCGATGAATGCTGTTTAATTAAATGATGTAATGAAAAATATTCTCTCTACTGAATTATCTATATTTTACTTAAAAAATTAATAGTCTCCTATTTTTATTCCGTTATAGCTTATTCTAAGACAACTAGCGATCACATTTATTTGTATTATATGCATGGTTTATTCACTCAAAAATATCTATTTACTAGACATTACCTAAGTCTTTTAACATACAATTGATTGTAGGTCACAGTTGATTATCACATTGATGAACAGAATTAGAGCACAACTAAATAAATGATCTATCTTTGTTCACTTTTTTTCTGGCTGAAATATTTCGTATCTGTAGGTTTTTTAGACATTAGTTTATATTGATTTCAATGAATATCAAAATACAATAACGATACCTGGTTCCTTTGACAATATTCTACTCTAATTTCTCATTAATGCAATCTCTGGAGTTACCATTTATAGTTGTTAGTTCTGTCAGAAATGCATACGTTTTAGCTTTGAATTAACATTATTTGTTAGGTGACATTTAATATATCATTAATATGTGAGGATATTGAATGATATGAAAAGTTGGTTAGTAATTTTACCAGAGACCAAATTATTGATTTGTTGGTATTTTACCAAGTGAATATTTTTGTGATTCCACTTTTAAAATTGTGTCACTACAATGATAATAATATTTCATACTGACAACAAATTTGTTTCAATGAAAATACATGATACATGCCTCAAATAATTTATCGCTTACCATATATATATATATATATATATATATATATATATATATATATATAACAGTTGAAACCACGTGACTTGCGAATTATATGACAAAAAAGCGAATATATATTTTAAATGTAGATAACTACAATATGGTATCATGAGGTTTGTATAGTGATTAAAAACTATTTTCTGTTTTGATATTTTCAAATATTCATAATTAATCTTAGTGCATATGCTTGAATATGCTTGCATATGTTTGAATATCATTTTACTATTACTATAAGTGTATTTATCTATTTAAATAAAATCCTTAATTATTTCTTTTAAAATGCACATAGATTTATTCACTGAAACATAAAACAAAGTTAATTCTTGAGAAAATTGTCAAATTATCGAAATAGTTTTTGTAGCAACAATAATTATTGTAGTGAATTCTTAAAGAATAACCGTATGAGTAAACCAAAAGCTTTGTTTAACACTAAACTTCGTTGGTAAATTCAACAGTCTGATGTTATATTTTTTTACTGAAACTCAAGAATTATAATAATTTGCACTGGCTGATCTTCACTAATTTACTTGATCTTTACATTAAAAAATAACTAAGTTTATTAATCATTGTCCTTTACTTGGTATTGTATTTGATATACTTTGGTTAATTTTCTACAGATATTGTTCCTTCTACAATTAAATTAGCAAAATGTTTGCATATTTTTAATCATGAGATTTTTATCGTATTAAGAAGGATACAATTACGATTCCGTGAGATTCTATGAATGAGAAAAAGCATTATATTTTGTGCTTCATGTGCAATAGTTGAAAGGGTCTCTCTTAACGGATGCATTTTTTATACTTGTGCAACTCTTATTGTTGCATAATTTAATAGTGAATAATACCAACATCAGTTCATAGCTGAATTCATAAATCAGCTAAATACGGGATATGAAACGGAATTTCTTTCAGTAAATATTTTAAAAGAAAGTAATAAGAAAATCACGTTTTATTTAACTTTATTTGTATGGTGAATGTCTATTATAGCGTGATAATAATTTGGTTTAGTGAAGATACCATTGAATGGATACAACTATAGACGTTGAGTATACTACATAAATTTATTTTTATTGTGATTAATATTCAATCCGTCTAATAATAATAACTAATTGTGGTAAAATAATCCTAAATATCCGTTCATTTTAATTGAGATTTAGTAATTGGTAATATATATGTATGTGCTAAATACGTTAACATCATTCAATGTAGGTAATTGTTTAATTTCAACACAGCAAATAGTTTGCTTTTTTCTAAATAAAATGTATTTATTGGTGAAAGATATGATAATCAAGTATGAATTTATGTGTTCAGTTTTAAGTCACAATTTTTGTGTAAGGGATACTGATAAACAAATTAGAACAAGTAAGATTTGAATTCGGAACAGAAGCAACTGATTTTTAGAAAAAAATAACCTAATTTTTAATTGGAAATAATCTATTTTACATATAGAAATTAATTTAGTTGTTTATTTGATTAATTAAATTTATTTGTTAAATTCTTTAGTTTAATTAATCGGTTTGTATGTGATTTGTTCAATAAAAGTTACCATGAAAAAAAACAATCTTTCTTAAGCATCTATAAAGCGTTTTAATCAATTTTCGACATCCCACTACATTTAGTTATTATTCGTTGATTAACTGTATTGTAAAATAAACTGTAGTGTAAACCAAATGGATTTTCTGTTGAAAAGCTCTATTAATTAATCTATCACCAAAAATGAATTAATTTTTTTCATGTTAAATTGTTTACTGGAAGGAATCTGAACACAGATTTTACACATTTTTACTTCCACACGCCCAATGATAAAAGGTGATGTAAAATGTTAGATGCAGCTTGAATAGCTCAGTGGTATCATACTTAAAAGTAACATTAGCTCAAATGCTACTAGGAGATCATTTTACTGAAGATTCAGTGTACGTTTTTTACTGATGGGCTCCGATTAACAGGAAACAGGTGTAGCATTTTCTGCCTAATTGCTTACAAACATTTACTAATGGTATTTTATTTAAACTGGCTACATAATTAATCTCAAAAATGAATTATTCATGTGAATATTTTATGGCTTTGCTGATTATCTTAATGGTTATTCGATTGAAAAATTTTATTGCTGTTAAATATCTCAACGTGTTACAATGAATCTGGTTATAAAAGGATGATAGATATTTTCCATTTAGGAAAAATTCTGTTGGAAGAGTTGTGATGTTGTAGTCATTCAAAAAGCGTATTATATGGCTACGGAACACTTGGAACAATCAATGAATAGTAAACATAGAATTATTATGAAAACAATCAGATGAACTGAAATCTACCACCCTCTTCATCAAGTTTATATGTGTGTATTTCCCACAGATAATCAGTTTGACATTCATTCATTTGAACATTTTGTACTAAGTAAATTAAATAATGAGGATGTTTTAGACAGTTTTTGGTTCATTTGGAAGTGCTCTGAATAAGTGATACATCAGGATGTTGTATTATAACTAGGTATACTTTTCTCAAATAGAAAGAGTAAATATTGATACAGTTACTGGTTTCTCTAGATTGTTTCCTATACTTTCTCAGTCCGTATTATAAATATTTAACAAAATACATAAAAAAGCTAATCACTCTGTTCTGTTAAGTTTCTCTTTTTACGTTTTCATTAAAATATCAATACAAATATTAGTGACATCATAAATATATATTCTATTATTATCACCTATTATTCAAATCATTAATATTTAATGTTTTTTTCATTATAGATTTCATTCTTCTTTGCTATGATTTGGGGGTGTGCGCTGATTTATTTCTTATTTAGTGAAGCACTACATTCACCTGGATATGCATCACCATTGGTACTTGTTTCATTCATGACACTTTACTTAGTCAATCCGTTTAGTTTTGCTCATTCCAAAGCACGTCGTTGGTTATTACGTGTATTAGTAAGTTTTTCATGTAATATAAAGTGAAATGAATGGAAAAGATTGTTTTATTAATGTATTAATCATTTCAACATGAATGTACAAAGAACAATTGATATTTATCCTTTTGAATAATTTTGACTAACAGCTATGAGTAGTTTCATCCAAACAACAATTGAACAATCAACTTCAAATAGATATGTTAAATTTTATAATACGATCTAATAGTTTGACTATTGTTCAGTTACATTATTAGAGATGAGTGTTTCATTTTCAACACTTGAGACTCCGTATGTCATAGTTTTTTAAAATAACTTCAAAAATCTGTCATATAGTTATTCAAAACAATTAGTCCCTTTGATAAATTTCGATAATGCAATGAGAAGACGTAGTTTATCAGAATTATGTGATATATTTGCGCAATACATTTCGAACAATCTGATCACACATATACTTGTTAAGAACATTTATATATGAAAAATTAAAAGGTCAACTAGACAGGTTAAGAGTAAGTCATATCAAAGGATAAAAATATTAAAGTACACAAAAACAAATGTGATTACCACTCTGGATAGTAAATCAGTACTACCAGGGTAGGTTAAGTGTAAGTACAAATTGTTTTTGAACACATAAAGGGGGTTTCAATTTTCGTATAGCCAAGGCTTCAATAAACGACATAATAATCATAGGTGATAAAATTGAAGACATAAGCCACTTGTTAGAAGAATTCAATAGTAGTCAAAACCACATTTCTCTTACATGTGAAGAAGAGAAGAACAACCAACTTCCTTTTCTTGACATCCTGATTACTAGGAGAGATGATGGTTCCATCAAACGTGATATATATAGAAAACCAACATGGACAGGACAATATCTTAATTTTCATAGTCACTGCCCTATTCATTATAAACGTGGTTTAATAAAGAGCTTATTCAATAGAATCAATCGTATTTGTACTAGTGATACTATTGAAGTAGAGATGAAGCTCTTGACTGATGCGTTAATCAATAATGGTTACCCTTTGAAGTTCATAAACCGCTGGAAGGGTTGCAATATGACTAGACCTATGACGCTTCTGGCACCCAAAAAGCGAGTTTATATTACGTTATCATTCAGAGGTGACACAAATAGTCTCATGTTGAAACAGAGACTTAAATTAGCTATCAACCGGACATTTTATGCAGCCCAACTTGTCATTATCGAAAAGACAAGGTCTATGTTTCACCAAAAGCCGAAACAACATGAAAACGATTGTGTCACATCCCATTGTGTCTATAAATGTACATGTATGTGTGGAAACACGTACGTAGGGAGGAGCAATCATGATTTGCAATTAAGGGTGGGTGAACATATACCAAAATGGTTGCAGAATCAGATGAATTCCAATCGTGAAATAAGATCACAGGATAGATAGACATCATCATCCGTTGCGAAACATTTGATTGAGACGGGTCATAAGGTTGATATCAAATCAGCATTTGTTGTCTTGTACAAAAGCCTTCAAGGACGTATACTAAGGTTTATTGAAGCCTTGGCTATACGAAAATTGAAACCCCCTTTATGTGTTCAAAAACAATTTGTACTTACACTTAACCTACCCTGGTAGTACTGATTTACTATCCAGAGTGGTAATCACATTTGTTTTTGTGTACTTTAATATTTTTTCCTTTGATATGACTTACTCTTAACCTGTCTAGTTGACCTTTTAATTTTTCATATATAAATGTTCTTAACAAGTATATGTGTGATCAGATTGTTCGAAATGTATTGCGCAAATATATCACATAATTCTGATAAACTACGTCTTCTCATCGCATTATCGAAATATAGTTATTCACTAGCAAGTTTGTTATAATTATTATTTAGTTAGTTATTCGGTATATGAAAGTTAATTCATGAAAACTACTGATATATATATATATATATATATATATATATATATATATATATATATATATATATATATATATATATATATATCACGGAATTAATCGTACATTTATACAGTAAAAACATGGAAAATAGTCAAAAATCTTATTTTGACAATTAATATTGAGTTTATTATATTTATACGTTGTCAAGTGAATCTAAATAATAATAATAATAATAGTAATATTAGCTCATAATAAAGCCGTATGATTAATATTATTCTCAACTGTCATGAATAGTAAACGATTGATTTACCGAAATAAAAATATATTTCATTTTACAATCATTTATATATATTTGTTCATTAAGGATTATTATTAATTAAGTTAGTATTTAAGTGTTGTGTAAAATGACGAAATATATATATATATATATATATATATATATATATATATATATATATATATAATCAAAGGGCTTTTAATATTAATTGAAATTTTCAAGGGAACTATTGTAATTAGTTTTTTAATTTATTTATTATGAAAAATAAGACTATTAACAGATGTGACAATTTTCAATATCTATCAATTTTGATTTGTTTCGGTAAAATGAAACTTTTTATCTTTGTTTATAAAACCAGAAAGAAGAAAATGACAAAAATCAGTTAAACAGACGGTAGAACACATAATATAGAGTGATCATTTTATATAAACAAATATTAAGCAGTTGAAAATCATCATGAATATCAATTTCAGTTTAACCTTTATCCTACTGAAATTTTATTGTTAATTTTTATAATTGATGTCTTGGACCTTTTTTTAAAGTGTTCAATGTATTGTTAATACTTTCTGAGTTTGACAATGTAGTGATGATAATCACTTATTATAATGTTCGGTGGTTGAAGTTACTCGATGGGAAATATTAAATTGAGGTTTAGTGATGATCGACACTCGTCAGCAATGCGTACCTATAGTCTTTTAACAACTGATACTCTTTGTAGGATACAAATCCATGTCACACAATTCCACAGTTTGAGACGTTAACGATGATCTATTTGAGCAGCAATTGACCTGTAGGACTTTTAATTGGTTGCTGAGTAGTCCAGTCCATTTTTAATGCCGATCAATGATAGCCGATCTTTTTATTACCTTATTGTTTTTAATTTTGATACATCAACATTTTATCATTCAAATAAAATCTCTAAAATATTATCGTATCAAGTAATTGATGAGAAAATTAGCATTAAGGATTTATGTAAACTTTTCATCATTTTTCTTACTTTCGGCAACCCAGTTTAATAGCCAAATAAAATGGGTACTTGTAGTTATGTCAGTTTTACAAGTTACTGATAATGATACATGCAATAGGGAAGCGTATTCGAAACTATGGGTATGTGGCGCCCAGATACCATGGATTTAATTATTTTCAATATAAAATTTCATGTTTAGACTTTTTCTGTGTTCGTTTGTAGTACACATTCTATTATATATATACTGTTTGACTTTTAGTAAACTAATAACCTAAAGTTTCCTGCTTACAATCACATGGAAATCGTATACTTAGGTAAACAATACATTTTATTTAGTAGTACTGACTAAAGAAATGCCATTTTACTTACTGCTTCAAAAATTTGTGAATACTATGAACAAATTTAAACTGAAAAATACATTTTAATAAATAGAATATAAAAAATGTCTTGTATTTCCAATGTGTGGACATTTTTCTTAGCAATAATTTTCTATATAATGGATTTATGTGGATACCATTAGTGTAATTTTGTAAAGACTTAAACAAATCAAGGCAATTATCTTGATCAGTATAACTTATTCAATCATGTTTTTCTTCAAATGTATAGTCAGTTATCTCTTAATATGAAATGTTTGGGGATAGGGAATAATAAAACTACTATAATAGCAATTTAGTTCGTCTTTAGTAATGAAGTATGGTTATTATATGACAGATTGTAATATCTTTCACAATACTTCTATGTAATCAACACGATACCGTGATGCATATATAACCCAATCCATATAGAAAAAAAGACTAATTAGTACAAACAACATTTACCAAGTTTGGTATAAATATTTTTGTTTAACAGTGTAATCATTATCTCAATCAAGTCAGTTCACGTTAATTTATAGAAATTTGGCATATGAACTTGATCTAATAGACAAACAGATTTATGTAACTAACATCAAAAGTGTATCGATTTATGTCGTTACTTTTTATAGCAGCATATGTGCAATATTTTTAAAAACTTACCAAAAAGATATATAGGTCAAGAAAAGAGTTACTGATATAAGTGAAAATTATATTCTTTTTTGCTATTAGCTTGATGTCGGCGTGATGTGATCTGGTTTGCGTTTTATTTTTTTTTTTATTAACTGATTTCTACAACCTCTTCATAGGCTTGTTTGTCGTGTTTATCGTTATCTGTTTATTTTGTGCTGTTTTTTGATTGCTATTTATTATTATTTTATATCTTTGAAATATCACATAGCTTATTATGTTAATGTAATTTAGATTCATTAGTCTTACCTTTTACATATTCAGAAATGGTCGATTATCAGATCATCTCAGTGTTATAAAATAATTTACTCTGTAGTATGAATCTGCTTACTTCGAAAAACTATGTTTAGTAGTCTTTTCATATGATTTAATAGTTGTATTTTTATTTGTAAGGGTTTTTATTTGCTCATTTGTATGAGCAGCTGCAATTGATCAATCTTTATCGTGATATGTGCTTCTTAAGAGGACTCATAGGATGAAACATGTGTCCTAAATTCTAATAATAGCCACAGTCAATCTGTTCTATGGTTACATATTGGTAGTTTTTTATTTAAATTTATTCATATATGTGCAGTTATTTTATTTTGTTCTTTCTTCTTCTTTTCAGGGACGAATTATCAGAGCACCATTTGCAAAAGTTTCTTTCGCAGATTTTTGGCTAGCGGATCAACTAACTAGTTTAAGTTTCATATTTCCAGATATAGCTTATTTTATTTGTTTTTATTCATCACAAATTGATTGGGCTAATGGAATGAGTTACAAACCACAAAATTCTTCTTCTTTGACATTACCTTCACTAGTTATGGGACATAATAGTCAATATTCTAATTCAACACGTTTAACAATTCCTTCTTGTGCTTCTCATTCAAATGAAATTATAGGTAAGTGCCATTTGACTAATTTCATGTAAATATATATAATATTGATCGGATAGATATAATTTATTTATGTAAGAATTTTATAATTTGTATAATAGTAATTCATAAAAAAAATTGATCAAGGAGAATTTTCATTCAGTACAATAAAATATAAGTTGTTTTTCATAGGAGATAATAACCAAGGTTTAATCCCTTAACAACAATTCAATGCCATTTGTTATAGTAAAGAAATATAAACGTATCCGTGGCAATAACATCGATTGTTGACAGTGATGTGAAATCACCCAGAATGTTGTTTAAGATAGCCTAATTATTGACGAAAAACTCAAGAATGTATGAATGAAAGGAAACAAAATAACTGAGAAGGGATAGCTCAAATATCTCTAGTAATATAAAGTGTTTAGCTGCAAAGAAGCATTAACAATCATTCAAATTATTTAAAATTTGATGCAATATGTAATTTTGTAGATCTATGACTAATCAATGAAATTAAGGTTTGAATATTGGATCTAATCTTTGTTGATAATAGATTGTTAATAGCATGCTCTTTATTTAACTTCGAGTTCTTGATTGTTATTCCTCACTCAAAAGCTTGTTTAAATAGCAAGATTTTTCCATATTCTTTGTAAGCGTATTTAGTTTTTCTTACAATTTATTGAGACTTAAGTGATTTCCCAAGTTTGATCATGTACTATCAGGAAAACGAATGACTTAATTGTTGAATGTAAATCACTGTACAGAGAAAGATTATAAAACTTTAAACTTCGTAGTTATTGAACTCTTAAAGCTTCAAAATGTAATTTCTAAAGCTTTTTGACTATTGATTTGTTTAATGCATCTGTAAAATGACTATTTTATTTTTGTTAAATTGTCTAGCTCCTATGCTTTTTTTCTTCTGGTTGAACTTCATCATTAAACTTTGGTATTTTGCTCTATATTTTCAGCATATTAGTCTACATAGTAGAATATGTTCATTTTTGGAATTGTAGTCTTTTTTTCCATAGTCAGATATAATAATCATGTACCGATTTTTGATAGACCAAATATATAGAGATTCCATAAAATGGATTGATGTGATGTTCATTTTCATTTTACGTTAAAAAGTAGTTATCTATATTCATAAATACTTGGAATTTTGTTCTTCTGATATTATCTGTTAATCTTTCATTGGTAAGATTATCCCTAAATAATTCTTAAATTTGGAATGAGTACTTAAGGAAGCTTTGTTAAAAATAGAATACAATTGTTAAAAGTATCCGCTTAAGACTTGGTGTAATTCGGATAGTATTAATATTGTTCTCAATAATAAAGTACTTTATTCAAATTGGATTACAGAATTTATTCATAAATGGGTAATTCAAAATATAGTTTAAAGGATAGTTTACTATAGTGTTAAGGTAAATATTGTACTCCTACAATTTTTTTCACTCAATATAAATTTACGTATATGGTCTACTTGAAGGGGAACTGTCAGTTACAGTTAGTCTAAACCCTTCCGGTTTGTAATATCTTATGTCTAAAAAAAAAACAGAAGTCTTTGTAATATTATTTTAGAGAAGTGGTTTAAGCAAACAATTGATGATTATTCAGTAAAGCATCAACAGAATACCCATTCTGCTTCTGAAAAAATTTTACTTGAATAGTATTTTAAGTTTTTTGTGTTTGTATTCGTATTAATTTGTATAGTTTTGTGATTTATTGAAAAATAAACGAGGTTTACTTTTAAAACCCCATGTATTTTTCCCATAGTTTTATATTAGTTTTTTTTAAGTGGTATGAATGCAAATTATGATTTCGATAATTAAACACCTAAGGGTTACTTATGCGATAATTCGAAATCTAAGTTGAAGTTCAGGAATGTTTCAGTACATAATAAATAAAACCTGATGTCAGTGTTTTGTAATAGATACCGCCCATCATATTTTTAAGACTTAAACACTGATAGATTAACACAGGGATTATCAAAACAAACACCATCTTAGGGTAATATGATATTTTCTAATCTTGAAACAGTTAGATGAACAAGTTGTGTCGTAAGTTGATTTTAATTTCACTGTGGAAAACATTTTACCTAACTGAACTTCTTATTTTCTCCATTATTCTCTGTGTATTTTATTCATATATTTATAAATGATGATTGAAGTATGATTTAACTTCTTTTCATTGATTTTTGAAAAGAATAGTGAGCATTGTTTCGCTCTGTATTCTTATGAAATGTTTACCAGAACCATACATTCTCTCAATGATTCTTTTTATCATTATTTCGTTGTTCTAGTCTCTTTTTTAAGGTCCAACACTTGTTTTCTTTCTACCTTGAAAGTTTTTTTATTAGCTCATTCTATGGATGCCAAAACGAATCAGCAGTAATTAATGTGTTACCTAATTCTGTTTTGGAGTGTACAGATGGATTTTAATCACTTTATGTCTTTTATTAAGGCACAGTAATTTATGTAAAAGTTTCATATACATTATGGTTGTATTGATCATCAAGGGTTGGTGAGAAACTTCAAGATAAAAAGTAATGAATAATAGTCTGCTTTTAGCATGAAATTCTTTAACATTCCTCATTTGTAACTTCATACAATACAATGTAAATTTTATCAAGATATTTCTGCTATTAGCTTATTCTAAAAAAACTAACTTACGTTTATTTAAAGCAATCAATGGAAATGATATTTAACGCGTATTCTAGCGATTACTTTGTGGAGAATAGTTTAATTATCTAGTAGATTTGAATGTTGTGCTTAAACTAAACATAGAAAAAAGGTGTTAGATCATACTTTTTGGTGTAATAATAAAGTTTGGACAGCAAACTTTTCACTGAAGTTAGTTCACTAACTTTATTTTTTTAAAAGTAAGTAATAAATATCGTGTGACCATGAGATTGAATCTACTTTCAGTCGAATTCGATTCACAAAAGCATGGTATTAATAACAATTCAAGACTATTTGATGTTGACGGATGGTTTGTTTTGTGGATAATAAATGCGAAACTTAGGATCGGAACATTTAAATTATTCCTTCACGTATGAAACGATGTACAAACTTTAAATTATATCTGTTGGGTGATAAAACTGTAGATATAAGTGGAAATGACTTTGTCAAAGCCGATATACATATTTAACACATAAGTCTGATAGATTAGTCAAAGTTGACTGATGAATGAAGTGAATGATTTTTGATTACCCACCCTGGAATGTTTTCTCAACTTATTTGTTTTTGGTTAATATACAGCTGGTTATAGCATTATGCTTGTCATAACATCTTGAAGATTTATGTAAGATTATTATCAATTGTTCAACAACGAAATATCGTATGTACATAATCGTCCCGTTAAAATCAAGTGACAACTAGTAACTAATTTCAAAATCGAAACCTTGTGAAATAAACTATGTGTGTAAAACTAAATTTTTACCTGTTGCAACAGACGGTTATCCAAAAGATGGAGAATTAATTACATGTGCGGAAATGTGGACCGATTAACTTTTGACTAAAAATACACATATATTAGGCTCTTTGCAATAACCTAAACACTGAAATCCAAATAACAGTTGAATCATTCTTGGTTTTCTAGCTAATACCAATTTATAATGAAAATCATTGTTTCATTGAACTTTTCTTTATAAAATTAAAAATCCCTAATTTACCACTCTAATATTATTATTTAGGTGAGTTGATCTTAGAGACTTTTTGTGATTTCTTTAATAATAGTACATTTTATAAAAATCCAGTATTTTAGAGTACTATTACTAGCCTATAATTTATTAAAAATCTGACTTAATGAGATCTGTTTAATATAACCATCGTGTAAAAGTGTGAATGCATGTTTTCCTTCTGAAGAAATCAATGTACTTACTAATTATGTCATGTGAATGAGGACGCTATATATATATATATATATATATATATATATATATATATATATATATATATATATATGCGAAGTAATTTGACTTGAAATGCTATCTAGGGTTACCAGAGTTTTTATTTTATTTAAGATTTCTATTTTTTTAAAATTTACATCTGTGGTCTAGAATCATTTCAAAAGGTCATTAAATTATATCCCTATAATAATCAAAAATAATTTAATTGTGTAAATATATAGATACAATTTTTCATTTTATTAATATTAAGGAGGACTTCTGACCATTCCGAAATATGTGCCTTCTAAGTGCATCGCATTGATATTGTCTTGAGTTATGTGTTTTAGTGAAGGTAAAAATGGCCTAACAGTCGAATCAAAGATGTTTTTTTTCGTTTTATATGAGTCTTGTCAGCTAGGTTCAATACATCTTAGTGTTGATACCCACACTGGAACTAGAACCCATTATTTTATTTATCCATTAAGCTTTTGAGTCCAGGCAGTCACTAAATGGAAAGAGATCTGTGTCCTCGATTACACTTCCACTCACATCCCAACTTCGCTAAAACATTTTAATATGTTGGTCGTGATTATTATTTGCTAATCATGCACTTTATGTGCATAGAAGTTAAGATAAAGTATTTGAAATATCATCGAATAGAGCGAACTATAACAGTGTTTGTTCATTTTTTAGTAGTGTTGGATATCGTATTGAAATCACGAATCGACCTAAGTTTGGCACCTATTAAAAACCAGGAAGCACTGGACAACTATGTTGTCATGAGATAGAATTTCTCAACAGTGGGTCTCCACGACCCTACACGGAGTCGAATTCTTGAACTTTGTTCCTCTTGACTGCTAAACAGAAATCCACTGGTGTACATGGTCAGCTTCAACCAAGTCATGGTGCTGTACGGATTTTGTATGGTTCATAATATCAGTAGCATTTAATAATCTGAAACGTCTAGTGATAGTGCATATTTATTTTCATAAGTAACAACTTGCAAAATCCCATATAATCGTTTCAAGTGTATAGTATTAGGTCATATAAGAAGTTAAACGAAAATATTTGTATTATATGTTTGTACAAAACCGTTTATATTTACGAAGCCCTTGTGTTACTGAACTAAATGCATAGCTCTTATAAGGAATAAATAACTCAACGTTTTTGCGTTAATGATAAAGCTGTTGACTTAAAACATCTCAACCATAAAACTAATTCTTTTACTACCATGTTCGTGTATTAATGAAAAATTTAATTTTTTCATTTTTTAAACGAAACAATATACCACAATGTGATTAACGTTAAATTGTTCTGAAGTAGTCACATAAACAGTAAGAACTTGATTTCTGAGACAAATAACTGTGGATACCTTTACACAGAAACCCCTGAACATGAAAGTTCTTTAAATAAATGAATGTGATTATTCAGAAGTCTTTGAATACATGAAACTTTCTATCTTAATTAGGAATTTTTAAATTTTTATACTTATTCGATGTTCAAATAAATTACATAATTGAACTGATGTATTATCGCTGTAACATTGTCGGTACATTATTATCTGCATATCATATCTCGGTAAAAATATTGAAATGAAAATATTTTTAACATATTAATACTCTGAAAACAAATACACTTATTGTCATTGTTCTTAGTTAGTGTTTGTGAGTATTTTCATGAAATCTAATAATCATAAACAATATACTTATTTGATTGTTAGATAAAAATCAGAATACTTTATTTCAACCCTTTGAAACAAATATTTTTTTAAATAATTAACTACTGTTATTATGCATTAAAAGTTTCGTCACTTGAACCAATCCAAACTATAGCAGTTATTGTTCATCAGTTGTTCTGTAATTTTTTCTTTACTTTTTAAATAAGAATGAAAATAACTAACTTGAATCTTTTTTTAAATTGTTCAGGATACATTTTTATTTGATTTATGTGATAGGATTCACCATGATATTTTTTATATAGCTGTGGTAATAGGATGTAACAACTTGAAATTATGTACAGAAGTGGCAGGTTTTACGTTACATATGATATGTAGATAGTTTATATAGGGTTTAATGTTAATTTGAATTTCTTGAGAATTTTAGTTCTTTCACAATTACATCTACAACCAGTTAATAAATATCATACAATATAAAAACATATGTGTAAGGATTACTACATTCCCATGCCTATAATCATAATCAAAAAGATATGTAGAGCAAAATGTTTTCCTATCAATGATTGTTATATGCGCAAAATTAATAAAAAAAATTAAAAAAATGAGTTTGTTACCTTTTTATGAAAATTTTACAAGTTTTAGTTAAAAGTACATTATAGTAAAGGGGTAAAATGAACTCTCATGGTACTGACATATTCAATATGGATAGAAAATGAAATATATTAAAATTAATTACATTTATTATCAAATTTCAAATTGAACAAGACAGATATTGAATTTTTATTTCATTTTATTACTCTTTAGTTATTAATTGTTTATTACTTAAATTTATCTATATCTCTGTTAATCAATTAACAGTATTGAAATTACTAAGACTCATTAACTCTGGTGTGTTATTATTTAACGAAAAATCAATGAAAGTTAGAAAGCATAATGTAGTTGTTCCGACTAGGTTTGAAACACTTCAACAATGACTAATAATAATCTTCAGATATCGTGATGAACATGGTACTCTTAGATCACTGTGTTAATAAATATTTTCAGCTTCATTTAATTCATGATACAACGTAAAAATCATCTGATAGAACCAGTGATAACTTTCCGACTATCAATAAAGTTGAACGTCAAACAGTCGCAAGCTCATTGAGTTCTAAAATTTTTCTAGCTAGTATTATATCATGGCGGAAACAACATTCAAATTCAACTCGCGTTAGCCCTTTTACTCCATATGTTGGCTTTTATAACCCTAATTTTCGATGACCTAGTGGTTAAACTAATTATCGAGAGTTCCTAAAGACGATTCTTATTTGTTTCAAATAGGTTATGCCACCTTAAAATCGACTCAAACCAAACCTGATACGTTTTTATTGCAACTTCATGAGGGTTTTTCTGGTAACTGGAAAAATCAATAAGTCATGGTTACACGTTATATAAATATCCTATTTATCTTATTAGATAATTACTGTTCACCTCATCATATAGGTAATATAATAATTTGACCTTTTTATGTTTTAGAAACGGTTATTATTTGGCTCCATTTTCTAAACTTAGTTTATTTCACTACAGAGAGATTTACTTTTTCCAAGGCCTCACTCAATATTTCACATTTACCATTCTGTTATATTGCGTAATAATATTATCTTAAATATTCCAGAACTATTACTCCTAAACAAATATAAATTCCTGTTAAAAAGTTGGATTCTTAATTCCGTTTACATTCCAAACAACCCATATGTATTATTGACCATTCATTATTTAGGTTGAACATCTTGTTAATAATTGAAAACAACTAGAAATATTAGCTTTTATGTAGCTGAATACAAAGTACTGAAATACAATAAATTCGTTGTATCTTGCAAATAATTCTGTTCTCCGCTTTATTTTTCGCTTATAAGTATTTCTATTTTCGTGTTCTTAGCTAACAGCTGTCAATGTGAAGGTATTCTTTTCGGTTTGGATCCAATTTTAAAGGTGTTACCGTCTTGGTTTCGATTTGCCCAGTGTTTGAGGCGTTATCGAGACATGGATGTTAAAAAAGCCAATCCTCATTTATTAAACGCAGGGAAATATTCTACAGCATTTCTGGTATCTACTTGTGGTGTCTGGCTGGCATTCGATCGAGGTTAGTCACTAATTTTTGTTTGTTATTCATGTTGTTGTTGTCTAGATATGTTTTAAGTTACATCTTAATGTCAAAAAAATAAATAGATCGGAACTCAAGTTCCTCCCATGTTAGGTCGTTCGGTTTTGTGTATTTCTCCTCAATATGTATGTATTCGAAAGTTAGTGAGACAGTTGAGCGAAGTTCATAGTCCTTAAATGATGATTTTGTTTCTGAAATGAAATCATGTGAAGAACTACTGAAAGTAAAGATTTTTTGGTAATTACTTTGCCTCAATCAAGAGTGATTAATCCCCTTTATAAGTTTCATAACAAAATCTTGAGTCTTGACTAATAGTTCACTAATATATGAGTTTGTAAGATAATTTATAGTAGATCACTCTATTCATGATACTTTTACTACAGAGGTATTCTCCATGAGTGATAACTACTGCTGTTACCTAGTCTCAATAACTCTAAAAAAGCTAAGTACTCATTATATGCTTCTTATATTTTAATCAGTTATTATGATTTTGTAAATAACTTTAAATAAGCTATATTAGATTAAATTCGATTCATGTTTCTTTATTAACGAATTTTAACTTTTACAGTTACGTCTTATGTTATTTTATCGCAGTGAAAATTTGACAAGAAAATTGTTTATCTAGGATTCCAGTGGTTGAGATCATGAGTCAATTGAAGCTAGACTCATGATCTCAACCATTGAGATTACTGTAATATACACAAAACCCCTCTGATTTCTAAGATTCCTGATTTTTCCCATAAATGTACTCACGGGTAATAATCTAAACTCTTGAAAAACGTAAATTGTCGTTGGTATGTAAAGCAAAATATTTTGGAAAACGATTAATCGTAACACTGTTTAAAATGTTTGAATAAATAGTTTTCACGACACATATTATTAATGTGATGTTTCTCGATATTTGGTTGTCAAGAAACAGATAGTCCAGTGTTTATAATGAAGAGCTTAGTTTTCAGATAAATTTTATATAAAAATGCAGCTGGAATAATTATCAAGCTGATAAATTGAAGATTGTCACTTAATTCGAATTTGTATACAGTATTTGATGAAGATTGATCTTATTCATGGTACCACTGAAAACCAGGGGAGAACGAATAATTATTTCGTCCTAGTACTGAACTCTTTATCAGTACATACCCATTCCCCCACCAAGAACTCGCTTTCAGAGCTTTCAGGTCTTACAATGAATGCATGACTATTAAAATTATTGAGCCGGAAGTTTACGGGTCATAGGTGCACACTATTAAGAAGTTCTATTACAGAACGAAATGACTGTCTGCTTGTAAATTTATATAGCTTAATAAATTATCACTAATCCCCGATAGGCTTTCACTTTGACAAGACGTAATCAAAAAGTAGAATTTGAAGTAGTTTTAATGAACATTTGTTGCATTATTATAGCAGATTAAAACACAATGTAAAGCATTTATACTTCAAATCACGAAGTGATCTTAATTAGACAACCGTTGAAGACCCGGAAGCACCTGCAAGTCGTGTTGTCTTAAGATAGTACTTCTCGGCAGTACTCATCCACGACCACGCATCCGGGAATTGAATCAAAGGCCCTCTGTTTCACTTGTGGTTACTTAACCTCTAGACTATTGAGCCAGTATCCAACGGTGTTAATATCTGGCTCCAACCGACTCACGATACTGCCCCTCCGCCATCCATCTCCTATTTTGGATAACTGCCTCACACCTAACCGCGGGCCTCTGGGCTTAATTCCCGGATGCGGAGTTATAGTAACCAGACGGAAAAAGTGTTAACTAGTAAATTTTAGCCTCTCATTCTTGGTCTAGGTATACTGGAACAAATTATATTACAAAACAATGATCATTGTTAAACTTTTCAGTTCTCTCAACCATTTCGGTCCTTGGTTTATCTCAGGAAGTATTACAACATTTTCTTACGAGGTGTTCAGATAACTCTGCTTTTTCTGGTGCCCAAACCATTGAGGACATAGCTATCTGTGTACACAAAATCAAATTAAGTATATTTTCAAACAGAGGTTTATCTTCACTTTACTTTTTGTAAACTTTCATCAATAACAAACTGGGAAGTCAATGTCTGAGGGAAACACCGCTGATCACAAGCAATTGAGACGGAAACTCATAGTAAACTTTCATGATATCACAAGCCTCCAAATACAGATGCTTTAGCAATACACCATAGTTGTTCAATCTGGAAATTGCTACAAGACCTGGATATAAGATTTCAGTTGTTATTCTTATTTGTTTATTTGTAAGAATGTCCCGAAGTCTAGAAGGTGATTGATTGTTGTTGGAACACTCATGACCCAATCTATATGTCCCTCTAGTAGCTTGTGTTTAATATTCACTATCTCAAGCGAGGTATTAAAAAATCGCAATTAATAAGGCTTTATTAATTATCATAATTGATCTCTGCATGGTTCATTAAATGAAGGTCTTTATCAGTTGTTAATTTGTATAATAAACTATATGGATCAATTTGAGAAAGTACTGTTCTCAATTTCTAAACTGTAGATAGTTTGTGGTTCAATCAAACTATTATTCTAAGGTAAGTGTTCTTAAGAATTTCCAGGGCTAACTCATTATATTTGTGTACTTATTAAATTTCAAGTTTATTGACGTTTTCTTAGTTGTGTAACAATTGCAAAAAACTTAAAAAATGCATGAAAACCACCTGAACGTTTATTCAGATTCTTATATCTATCACTACATTCGCTGAACAGACTTTTCTCCCAGAAGTAAATCATTTACCTTCAAGTTATAATCCTTGATAATTGTGAAACACACTCTTATTGTAACCTATCACCAAAGTCTTTCTCACTTATATCATGTTAGGATTATATTTAAGGCTCAATGAATCCTCCTAAACTTGTCCCATAGATTAAATAAACAAACAGATATTCTAGTCTAATAACTGATTCGTTGGTTATTATTCAGTATATGCCCTTGATATTTTATTATCAAAAAATAAACTGCCGGATATCTCACTTGCATGTTCTTATGATAATTTGGGCATGAATAAAAACTTGCCTGAATTAGTGGATGAATAGAGTTCAACTGTATATCATAGATGAAGCATCATTTTTCCTAGTCAAGTAGTTGCTATTTCATTTAATTGGACTAGAGTTTGATTCATTTAATAATCATATTCATTATTATACTCTACCTACACTGAGAAGCGTTGATAAAATACAGACCTCAAATATTTACCGTCTATATTTGGTAATCTATTGTTATTTCTTGTTCATTAACTCTTCATAGTTAATAATCACTTAATATTACGTATATTTAATTAGTTTCAACAATTATTTCTTTCCTATAAAATATATTTACTTTAACAATTATTTATTAGACATTAATATTTTCTTCCTATATATCATTTTTTCAAGCAATTCATGACACTATACTACTCTATATTCACAGTTTTTTTAATATTCTTCAAGTTGATAATTATCTTTCATTTATACTCTATTTTCACTTTGGTCTGTTACTCAATCGGTTTTTTTAAAAAAAAATTGGAAACATTCTCAATCATCGTTTGTATAATTTAATAATTTTTATTCTAAGCTTATTTATTCTAATTAACTGTTAATATGATTGCATAGTTTTAGTAAATAATATTGTCAAAAAGAAAAGTCTTTTTGATAAATTATCTTTATTTCTCCTAGAATGTAGTTCGTTCAAGTATTTACGATTTCTTATCTTCGGTTACAACAAGTTATTTTTTACTCATTTACCGATTTATAATAATTACTGATATAAACTTTTTTTTTTCAATTTACATATTGTTATATTAACAGGTACTTGGCCATTGGTAGCTTATATTATATCTAGTATTATACGATCTGGTTACACATATGCATGGGATATTCTTATGGATTGGGGTTTATTAGATTGTCGGTCAGAAGATAAACTATTACGTGATGAACTAGTCTACAGATATAGAGGTTATTATTTCTTTGCAATAATTGAAGATTTTGTGCTCCGTTTAACATGGATCGCTCGTCTAAGTTTTGAACGTATTGGATTTGCACGGATGGAAATTATCACAACAATATTTTTGACAACTGAAGTTATTCGGTAGGCATGGAATTCTTTAACCTCACTTATAATAATATGCTTTTATTCTGATGTAACTTGATATGTAGTACTCCTTTTTTGACTGAGATGGCACTGAACATGATATATCAGTTGATTAGCTCAAATTGTCCTCATCTGATATAACAAAGCTTCAGGAACGATTATTAAGAAGGACAATAAACTACTTAAATTCAACTTTAAAGTATAGGAAAATACATACTACATGAAATATAAAAATTAAGATAGTGACTGAATGTATTTGTAGGAAAGTAATCGAGTTTAAATCATTTTAATAATGACTTAATTTTTAATATTTTTAATATGAATCATGTGAAACAAGTATAAAGTTCTTGATCTGGCTAATATCAAAATTTAATGACTTCATGGATTAATGCTATATCCCTGTTCAATTAACATAAGCTTTTATCCTGTTCTGAGTTAGATCAGTTAGATAAATGAAATGTTGTGTATGTAAGCCATTTCTCAAAATATTATTATCATGCAAACTTATATAGAAACAGTGAAGGGGATTTATAGCTTAGTTGGGTCATGAACCAACCACTGTTAGACCACAACTGAAAACCTGGAAGCACTGGAAGGATCTTTCGTCCTAGTATAGGATTCGTCGTCAGTGCGTATACACGGTCCTGCTCACTACTTAGTAGCTTCGAGAGGTTATTCTAGGGGTTCTATTGAGAAGCCGTGACCAGTGGAGTTCAACCAAGTCGGGCGTGAGGCATTTATCCAGCGAAGACAATGAAAGATGGTCGCGCAATATCGCAGATTGGTTAAAGTCAGATATTAACACCGTTGAATATCGGCTGGGTTGTCTGTAGGTTCAGCGTTTGCGCGCGAGACCAAAGGTGTTGGTTTCGAATCCAGTGTACAGGATCGTGGATGGACAGTTCTGACGAATCGCATACTAGGACGAAACGGCCGTCTAGTGCCTTTATGTTTTCAATGGTGGTCTATTACGATGTTCACTTATTGTTTAAGATGTACATAGAGGTATAACCTTCTAGATACTTGTCCTCTAGCGATAGCCAAAATCAATCTTTAAATGTTTTAGTTACATAGACTAATATTTCCAACTATTCTTTCTATGTCTTACACTGAATATTGAAAGTCTTGTTACTGTGTGTATTTTAGTCTCACACTTCTTTCACTTGCTTCTCTTTTGTTCTTATTGTTAATATCACCATCTTCACTGTCTTATTCTTTTGTTTTAAAGCTCGGTTCTTCTCGGTACTTGTGTAAGATATTCTCTTTTAAAAATAACATGCATTTACGCTAGATCCAATGTTCCCTTTCATAGTTATGTTTATAGAAAAAAACTGAATAGTAAAGGATTGGTGAAAATGAAATATATTCACATCACAAAGATATATTGTTCATTTAGATGATATAATTCTGTCTGTAAATTTAATTCGTAAGAGGTGCGATATTTCGCCTAATCATTTATTGCTTGAAAGATAGGACCGTATTTCGTTTTTTAAAAAAAGTAAACAGTATATATAGACAACATTTTACAGTTCTTAGTAATGTTACTTGTCAAATGGTGATAAACAAAATCTATCTACTTCATTATTTATCGTTCACTCAGTTGAAACAAATAGTTTTTATTTTTTATTTAACAACACATCATTCATTGATTAATTTTCCGGAGTTTTTACCTCAATTAGGTCAAATAAAGAGTTTTTGAATGTTTATCACAATCTAAATATATCGGGAAGTGGTGTGATGTCAGTCTGTAAAGACACAGTTTACTTTATTGCAGTGGTCTAATGATTAAGGTGTCCGATTCTTAGCCGCCAAGTTTGGACTGTTCCAAACCCATTTCACTTACTAAGATTGAGGTAAATGAGTTCTCATACAAAAACACTGATCATCGTCCTCAGGGTCACAAGGCAAATGTCTTCTTTCCACACATATTCATTAAAGAATCTCATATTATGTTGTTTGTAAGTACCTACAATTCTTAAGTATAGACTATTTCTACTTACTATCTTGGAACATTCATTTTCATTGATCAAGAATTCTCCTAGTAGTATCTGTTCTCGAAGTGCCTAACGATCACATCAGGTCACTAAGGGTTTGAGTTATGTGTAAAGTCCGAAGGAGAGGTTGATGAAAGAAACGGCAACAACTGAGGGCCTAGCTGTAGTTGCTAACTGTGGACATTGTGATGTTTATCAGCGTAATAAAGTAGTTATATTAGTCACGGTTGACTGGTGGATAAACTTCAAAGAAAATAAAGAATCCTGTTTATCACCTCTCATTATACTTCTCTACTTATGATACATAAAAGAGAGTCGATCACTAGTCAAACAGTTTGCTATATTCGACACTACATTTGGAAGCCAGGGCTATAAAAAATATGAAGTTCTATCTTATCGTATTTATGTGCTTTTAACAAAGTAACGTGTATAAGAAAAATTTCTATCAGATTATAAATAACTATATAACTAATTGTGTCGCCAATTCAAAAGTAGTAAACAGTTATCAACTGAACTTATGAATTCATTATCAGGAACCCTTTCTTAAACCTTTTTGACTCATTAAAACCTTAATTGCATCTTATTGATTTCATTCAAGACGTTTTATATGGAATTTCTTTCGTTTGGAGAATGAACATTTGAATAATTGCGGTCAATTTAGAGCTGTTCGTGATATATTTATTACACCTCTACCTAAACGGCCGCCAAGAACATCATCGTTAACAACATTTGGAAATTCTAATTCTCATAGTGTATTTAGTTCGAAATTGGCTCGACCAAATGTTCACTCGAAATATTCAGGGAAACCGGTTGGATATTCTCCGGATGATGGCCGAAGAAGTGTACCTGATTTTACACGAGATAAATCTTTTAATTCACCACATAAACCCAGTCATTTCCAAGCATCTGACTCATTAAGATCTAGAAGAACATATGACGTTAAGGATACTGAGCACGAAAACTATTTAACAGAAATTAAAACCTCTATGGAAGACAACGATTTGTTTTCACAAGAGGAAAAACAGGAAAATCCATTTCATCGATTTTGGAGACATATGAGATCGTTAGGAAAAAGTTCGTCTCATTCGAAACATAGTAATCATCAATTTGACGCTAATTACGAGTTGTCGACCAATGAAATCTCTCATAACTCAATCGAAAATAAACCTACATTTACCTTATTTATTGATGATGCAGATGACAATAATCTTCCAAATACATCTAATCAAATGTCAGCTTCATTTAATTCCAGAGAGGAGCATTCTTCATTAGAGAAGCCAAATGAAATCTCACCAGTAAAATCGAATTCTAATCAACCAAGTGCTTCTAAGTCTCATCCTTATATAAGGGAAAGACGTGTTCTTATACTGAATCACCAGACAGATAATGAATCTGGGGAACCTTATGAAAAGTGCAGGCTTGATGTGAGTTATAGTATATATTACTGCATAATTTTCATTTACTTCACGGTATAAAAGCTTCATTTTAAAGACTGAATGTTTCCGTGTTCTTTAAAGTAGAATACAAAATATTTTAGCTTGCAAAAAGATAACCATTTTGTCCTGCACTTCATAATTAAACCTTCAATAATCAATAATAACATGAGACGGATATGAATGATATTAGGACATTTTATATTTACTGAGACTAGGCATAAACAAAGAAGTATATCCCTGTTATAATCATAAAGCTCAATTAAATCTCAAGATTTTGTCTTATGACGGTAGTATATTTCTTCGCTTACCTATATTTATCTTTTGGTATTTCACTAGATTATCAAATCTGGTTTGAATTGTAGCCAACAACTTGGGTGATTTATGAGTATTCCATTGAATATAAATATAGTTTTTATCGTAAACTTGGGTTAGCTGGATACTTCGCCAGTGTACACTTACTTTCTCAAACTATATTAAACCCGAATGTTTCTGATCTCATAAGGAGCATAGTATTTTTAGACTAATAGGTTAGAATCCAGCAATTCGATTTTCAGTTCACCTAATAGACTTCTGATCATTTATCTAACTTAGAGACCATCACTATAGTTGTTCAGGGTGTTTTTCTTTGGCTTTACCTGAAATCTAAATTGAATATTGGCAAAACTTTTTGTTACTTTATTCCATCGTGGTAATATGTTCTGCCCTGTTCAGATGAAATACACCTCTACTAAAGAGTTGATCCAAACATATTGATTAGATAAATATTCACAGCACTTTCGTTTGGTATTTATCCATAAGGCTGGTTTAAGTTCAACATTTCTGTTTAGATGTGAAAATGTTTGGTTCTTATCACGTACTAAATTGAAGGATTTTTACACAATAACGAACTAGTGATAAAGCGGAAAAAATATATTCAATATATGTCTCTCGTCAATGAAATTTTGAAAATAAAAACTGACTCATAGAAATTATACATATACCACGGTCACTGATCTAACTGACTAGTCTCAAATTGGGGGAAATGCGTGACCTGGATTTCAGTGATGTCTGGTAAGTAACTTTGCCAAAAATCACGTAATTATTGTTTGTTTTTCGTTGAAACTTTTCATAAAGCGGTGAATATTAAATATTTGTTAGTCAGTAACCTAGTTTACAGTGGTTATGTAAGCAATACTGCTTTAAAGGTTATAAAAATAACAAAATTTCAGAGCATTAAATATCTCATTATTTTGTTTATTTACTGATTTCAGGTAAAATTCCATTAGTTATTTGTAATAAAAGTCATTAATCATAATAGGAGTTTGTTTTTTCTCAATGAAAAAGCAGCTCTGTAGGAATGTTATGCTTTTCAGTGCTTGTTTTCCAAATAATTTATCTATTACCAAGTGAATCATAACCTTAACTCGTTTTAAACAACCTACAATTAATTAATTCAATGTCTAAAAATAAGAAGTAAAAACGTTTGCTTCGTTATAGTGCAACGTAATTTTATCATAATACATTAAAGGATCATTTTTATCATGAATCACTAAAATCTTAGGTTGAGAAATACTTTTCACAATCTATTACAACAATATTCAATGAAGGCTTTGATGAAAAACGAAACTGGTGTTTTTCTTTTTATATAGACTCACTGAACCTGGCTCATATCGATATAAAGAGTCAGACCATACACATCGTTTAAACTTAAGTAAGCTAACTTGAACAATAGGTGGATGAAAAATGGAATTTGTAAAGAGTTTCCACTAAATTTACAGACACATCAGTTACTTATTTATTCAGCTTATGATTTGTTAAACAGCAAAGAATGTAATACTGGGTAGTACTTGTGTTTTCTTAATGAATGACAGTTGTAGGAATGGTGATACTCCATCACCTAAACATACTTGTTTTTCTTCAAAATATAACTAAGGACAAAACTTTGATAGAAATACGTTTGAGCTACCATATAAACCATAAAAACACTGATTAGTGCCATTTTCAAGTAGAACTGTAAAAATGGATCTTTAATATGGAAATATTAAGATCAGTTTTTAAAGTGGTCTACTAATACAAACAGAAGTTAAATTGATCTCTTTTGAGAAAAGCAATGTTTATTTTACTACTGTATGAATTCTTTTCAATTTATTGAAATTTGATCCCTGTTTCATGTGACAAGTGCTTCCCAGGCTTGAAATTATTATTATTATTACTATTGTGATTATTATTACTATTAATGAGGTCATTTAAACAGATGATTTATGATAATGTAATTGTTCACTCAGCATTTCATAATTAAACTACTTGTCGATATTATACAATTATTTTTTTTTAACCAAATTATGGTATTTACTTGATGGTTTAAATTAGAATTAAACAGAAAATCACTCTTACGCATCTTTAAACCTTACAAATGGTTACTTTTCTGAACATCTCAACTAGTTTAAACGGAGAAATTCACATTTAAGCATTATATCATTATTAAAGGATTCACAGTTTGAAACATTTCAGAATTCTTGAATGAGTAAAATGCAATAATACTGGACATTGGTTTAGTACTTTTCATATTTATTTAAGGAATTCAAAACATTCGATCGAGTCGCCTTTATTTAGCATTAATGAATTCTTTGGTTTGATAGATTTTAATGGTTGAATAGTTAGATTATCTCCGAAGTTATAATCATTGTTGATCTTCAGTAATTCAGAACACATGTAGAATTTCATTAAATAAAAATGGTAAATATATCAGTCTTGTTGACGTTATTGTTTTTTATCATATATATCAACGATAATACTAAATCCGTTCATAACCTTGTACTTCACTATAATTAATCAGTCAATTCTTACTGTTTCTTTATAGCCGACTCAGGAGATCATAAAAGATTATTCATCATCTCCGGTAAAAAAATTACCACCGAAATCTATTTTAACATCAGGTAGAAAGTTGGTATTTGTGATCATCAGCCGGTAGATCAATGTATATTAAATGTCGATGACAATGAGAATAAATCAAATAATCCATGTGATTCTGTAACTAATTCTAATCGTAATGCATTTGAACAATTTTTGAAAATACATGATAATTTATCATCTATCAGTGAATTAGGTCATTCAAATACATCAGTATCTCATATTAATCAAGGTTTTGTTGGATCTAATCAACCAGATAATGAATTACCTAATACACTTAATAATAATAATAATACTGTAATTAATGATTGTCAAATAATAATAAGGGGTCCATCACATATGGGAATCGTTCAACATGAAAATGAGTCACAGTATACTATTCCTATTACGTTGGTTTCTAACAGTGAATCTAATCAAAATTTATCAACTACTACACAACTAATGGATGGTAAACATGGGATGTAGAATGAAAAATGAAGTCATTGAAATTATCAGTTCATAAAGGATACACACAGCAGAATAGGTTAGTTTCTTTTCGTTGATATATTTAATATTGTTTGTTACACATTTTCTTATTGTTTTAGTTATTTATCCATTTACTGGAAATACTATTGTTAAAATTACTTTCATTGTCTTTTCAAAGTGGTAATTTTAAAATCACATATTTGATAAATTCATATAGTTACTTTGTTTAAACATAAATCATGTAAACTGAATGTACTCTATCATAAGTGTCAGTTTTAAATCAGAAATAGCCATCAGCTGATAAATGATTATTTTCATACACATTAAACATATTTTCCTGATAATAGTTTTTAAGAAATAAAAGCTTTCGAATAAATTAGACTTCAAAATACGACAAAAAAATTTATTTTATTTAATACTGTACTTTTGGTTACATTAAATAGTTTACATGACTAAATGTACAGTATTGCTATAAGTTCTAAAATAACATATATCTTACTTAGAATTATTCCCAAAAAATGTATGAAAATAATTTTAGCATTTCGTATCTCCTAATCATCTTACATCGTAAGCATCTACGATAATGTTTAATGCTTGAATTCCATTGTATTCTCCTCACATTTCTTTAAAGTTTATACAAAAACTAAAATATCTCAATAACTGTGATATTTCTGTTTGTACCTTGAATGTTTTTTTCTGTTAGGTTATGAACATTATACAAAGGCGTTAGAACACATTTTATGATGTACATCTAAAATTACTTCTTTCTATTAGTTAAATTTTATTGCAACAACTACATAATTTGAAGTAGATGATGTAAACGTTTAAGTTGGTCATTATATATGTTATTTATGAGTTATTCTCTTCAATATATAGCTTCATTGAAACAAACGGTAATATTATTCTTCTAAATATAATTAACCATTAAATAAATAAACACTCATTAACTTATTCATGATGGATGGTAGTTTTAGAATGAAAATATTAAATAACGATTTATTAGGTTATTGACTTCCGTTACGATGATTCTGTTTATCAACTTTACATTACATCATTACTAAGTAAAAGTATATTTTAACATAAATTCTGAACTGTAGTAGAATTTTAAATATTATTAAACTATATTTTTTAATATATAAATATAAAACCTCTACTTAAAATTATTTTAAGAAATACAGAAATTAAACTTTAGTTAGTGGATATTAAAATACAGTAAACACATGTAAATATCTTTGTATCCAGATGATAACTTGCTTCCGTCATTAGTGATTACGAGTTATGCTTTGTTGTATCCTTTTATTCTTCCATTTTAACACTTTACGAAATAACTTCTTGTTATTTTTTTTTGGAGAACAGATGCAATATGATGAGTAGTGGAATCCAATACACTTGTTTTGTCTTGTTTCGGACTCATCAGATGAATCTACTTGAGTCCTAGTTTTGATATTCACACTAAAACTCAAACAGAGTACCTTTTGATTCAAAAACTTAACGCGTTTTCTTCTGAGCTACTGACTCCGTATAGCCACTAGCTTGTGCAACTAAAAAATAAAATCCATTATAATATGAATTCAAATCATACCCGTTGAACGAGCTAGTGGCTATCTGGTGACATTAGCTCAATGAATAGCGCGCTAGGCGTTTGAAGAAAAAGGTACTCGGTTTGATTTCCGGTGTGAGTGTTAATACTAGAACCCAGACAGGTTCAGCCAACGAGTCCAAAACAGGATGAAACTCATGTCTTGGATTCCACTACTTTCCGCATCCCATCTATTCTCTTGAAATAATGTCTACATCGAGGCAATCCACACAAGGTTCACATATACCAATTAACACTGGTTAAAATTCAGTCAAGAACATCAGCAACGGGAGAAACCAAACCATTACATATTGATCTTCAATATGGGACTGTGAAGATTGCTGAATTTCAATGGAATCATGACCGATCAATGTGAGGACATCATTGAAAATATGGAAGCCTTGACCAATTGAAGTCAACTGTGTCAGGTATTACGCAGTTATCCACCGAACACAATGGAAGATGGTCGCGTAATATCGCGGATTGGTTAAAATCAGATGTTAACGCTGTTAAATATCGGCCCTTCGCCATTGCAAACGATTTTCAGCCATGTCATTCAAAGTCCCTAACCATCGTTTGCTGTCGTCTTGCGGATCTCAAGTAGGTAGTCTACACCTACCAACATGGCTCAGTTCACTTATCAGTGACTTCATGGATTCTCGCCATGTTTTGGTCTGGCTGCCTCAGCTTCCGACCTACTTCTATGCCACTGAACATCGCACGTTGGGACAGTCGGTGGTTGAGCAGACATAACACATGCCCCAGCCATCTCAAATGATGAAGTTTCACTACTTCATCAATCGATTTGCCATCCTTACCTAGTATCCGTTTCCTAAGAACTGCATTACTTACTCGGTGGTACCAGGATGTACGAGCAATGCTTCGAAGACTCCTATGATCGAATACTAGTAATCTACGAATATCCTCTAGTCTTACAGCCATGTTTCACTGCCATAAAGTAGGACGGAACAAACTGTCGCGCAGTAAACCTGTCCTTTGGTTGGTAGATGGATATCTTTCCTACGCCATGGATGACGCAAGTTGACAAAAGCTAGTCGAGCCTTCTGTATCCGTACTGAGATTTCGTCACACACCAGACCGAACGGGCTGATGAGACTGAGGGTTCTGGTTTCGAATCCAGTGTGTGGGATCACGGATGAACACTTCTGAAGAGTCCCATACTAGGACGAAGCAGCCGTTCAGTGCTTTCAGGTTTCCAATTTTTGTTTAACATTGATCGGTTTATTACTTCATATAAAGAAGATAAAGAGACGAACACTAATCAGAACGATTTATAAATTGAAATGATAGTAAAATAAGAAACTAGATATTTCGTTTCTGAATACAAAAATTAAACTTAAGTTGATAAATTGTCAAATCCCCAGCTATGCACAAATTTTTTTACCCAGTTTTCTTCGAAGTCAGTTTGTTTGACTTTGTGTGTAATTTTAAGTGACGTTTCTGGTAGAGATAGGTGATCAAATATTCAACAATGGAGATATCGACTGATTTACATTCACTTTAGATATCTGTGTAGTTATACGGCTTTAGTAAATAACATTGTCGAAAACAGAATTTTCCTCACTGAATTGTCATTATTCAGTCTTAAAATTTTTCATTTCAAATTAAATTTATTATAATATATTTGGTATATATTGCCCTATTGTATCTCTAATAATAACACGAATAATTTAAAGAATTGATAGACTTCACAGAATTTTGTTTAAAAAAGTTTCAAATATTTTGTAGAAGTTGCAAAGAAATGTTTATACATATATCAATCATTTTTCAATGAATATTGATCCTGCCTTTCATTATCATAGCTTTCTACATATGAACTTAATTTTCATCATTAGTTTTCAAGTCTAGTGAAAAAAAACGTTAATTGACGCAGATTATTTGATAAATATTAATGGCATATTTGTACAATTATGTGTATATATTGATTACTAGTAAAGTTGAACTGTTTCATTGTTGCTTGTGACAGTTAACATTTTGTAAGAGTTGTTTTGTAATCTTCGTAATTTTTTTTGCAAGAGATAATACAAATTCTATTTTCTACAGAATGAGATTTTACTTTGGTGATAAGAATTAGTAAACAAGAAAGTCTGAGTGCTTCTTGACTTTTACCTCGAAATATATAACACAATGTTGATGTTTTAAAACTGCTTTGCTTACTTGACTAACATTATTGATTGACTACCATAAATATCATTTGACAAATAGCCTATACTTATATGGAATTCAATTTGGTAGTATTAAGTCTAAAGTTAAGCGGTTTTTATTGGTAGATTGATTTATTCATTTGAAGTCTAGGTAAAAATGTACTTGATAGCTGGATGTAATTAAAACTTCGTCAGAGTTCAGTTAGCAGTGGATATGTCTGGTAATTTGATTTGCAAACCTATGTGCCTTCAACAAACTGGTCATAGGCGGCCATCAGACAAACCAAGAGCAGTAAAGCGATGGGACCAGACAGCATTCCAGCAGAGGCACTGAAAGCAGATGTGGCAGTAACTGCAAGGATACTCCACATCCTCTTCAATAAGATTTGTAATGAGGAAGGACTTCTAGTCGAAATACCAAAGAAAGGCGATCTCGGCAAGCGTGATAACTACAGAGTCATCATTCTCCTCTCAATACCAGGAAAAGTCTTCAACAAGGTATTGTCAGACAGGATGAAGGACTGCGTAGACGCCCAACTTCGAGACCAACAGGCAGGATTCCGTAAGGATCGATCGTGCATAGACCAAATCGCAACACTACAGATCATCGTGGAACAATCAATTGAATGGAATTCATCACTCTACATCAACTTCATTGACTACGAAAAAGCATTTGATAGCGTGGACAGAACAACATTATGGAAGCTCCATCGATACTACGGCGTGCCTCAGAAGATAGTCAATATCATACAGAATTCCTATGATGGATTAAACTGCAAAATTGTGCATGGAGGACAGCTGACAGACTCGTTCAAAGTAAAGACCGGTGTCAGACAATGTCGCTTACTCTCATCCTTTCTCTTTCTCCTGGTGATCGACTGGATCATGAAGACGTCAACATTTGGGTGGAAGCATGGGATATAGTGGACATCTAGGATGCAGCTGGAGGGCCTAGACTTCGCAGATGATCTGGCTCTTCTATCGCACACAAGACAACAAATGCAGGAGAAGACGACCAGTGTAGCAGCAGCCTCAGCAGCAGTAGGTCTCAACATACACAAAGGGAAAAGCAAGATCACTGTTTCCAAACAACTTGCATCTCAGAACAGTTCACAAAATGTCGAGTCACTTGGACTACTCTGTATTTTAATCTATGAAATTAGATCTGCAATAAAGGACTAGACAAACATGATTTTGATCACTGTATAGTGATTGTTTAAATGTAACTTTTGACATATTCATTATAAATAAATTTCAAAATACTCGGGTCATTGTGAATAATTTGACGCTGATTTTCGACATTAATTAATTATGATTCAATGTTTCATTTTTATAATTTATTTACATAAGTCAATCACAACTATCCTTAACAGTATAATTAACTGCATATTATTTTTATACATTCTGACTGATTCGGATAATTACTTAATGTGACTAGTAAAATGTTAAAAATATATATCATTAACAAATCGATTTGTTTATAAGTACACAAGGAAAATCAATAAAATTGGTTTTACCATTTTATTGATCATTATATAGAGAACAAATTTAAACAGTTGTTTATTTACTGGAAAAATAATAATGAGATTCGCAAAATGATAAAAAAAGGATGACCTTAAATAAGGAAAAATTTAAAGAAAAAAGAATTAACTTTTAGTTTATTGTATGATAAATGAAAGAAATGAAACATTATTATAAGGTTTCGAGAGAATAAAATTCAATTTATCTGTAAACATAAACTCTGCGATACTTATTGATTGATTTGGGCCGGGTTTTTTTTTATTCTGTACTACTAACTTATCGAAGTGACCAAATCATTTCGCGTTATCTTCACTAGTTTTCTATTGTTATGGTAGAAAATATACATTGGTAATGCCAGACAAATTTTTTCTACTCTCAAGTTTCTTGATCAATACTTCAAATATCATGTTCTTTGTTATGCAATCACTTTCATTCACTCAAATATTCAAGTAACATGTCGTTTCTTAAAACTAGTTCACTTACTTAAATGTTCACTTTTAAGAGTTAATTAAGATTAGTAGGTATTAAACGGAATAGAGTTAGAAAAAAAACAAAGATAAATCAATGAAGAGAATTTTATTTTGGATAATGTTACTTATCTAACACATTCAGTAGTTTGCTGAAAAATGGATTGGTATAATGTCATTGATAACGTACTTAAAAATTCCAAAAGAAGTTGACCAATAATTTAAAATTCTATGAAATTGCAAAGCTCATAAGGATGAAAAGTATGGTGACTTATTTTTTACTTGATGAAAATAAAGATGAAGAATAAACAAGAACGTGGTTTTACCAAGCTATTATAAGGTGGAAAAAATTACAATGGTAAGTGTTTATTGAAAAACTGGATATATTACACTTGAATATTTCTGAAAGACAGAAGTGACGAAGGTACGTCACATTTCTATTTTTGTGATAAAACGACATTCTGTTCGCTTTTATGGATATTAGAGATTAGAAACTTTATTTTAAATCGGGTAGGGACAACAGCTGAACCATAAAGATCCATCATACTTCATGGATTATTTTTTCTTCTACTTTCTACATAATTCATATCGAAGCAATATCAGTAACAATATTTTGCGAAACCTATTTTCTATCTTAGATTTGTAACTACTTATTAGTAGTTTAATACACATTTGAAATATCAACGAACGGTAATGGTACTTAATTTGTGCCTGGAAAACTGATAATGATTCTTTAATTGAATTCTTCTATATCTTTGAGAAATAAATTTGTATTCAGTTATCGCCTTTGTACTACGTTAATTTTTTTCATATTCATCTATAAAATAAACTATTTGTTAAGTATTTCTTAGTAGTGTTTAACAATCAAAATTGTTACTAGTTATTTCAACAGTTGAGATCATGAGTCGATTGAAGCTATACCACCATGGAAAACCTGGGAGCACTGGACGGCCGTTCCGTCCTATTGTGGGACTCCCCAGCAGCGCGCATCCACGACCCCGCCTCGAGGGGTTTGAACCCAGGCGCCTAACCAACTAGACAATTAAGCCGGCATTCAACGGTGTTAATGTCTAACTTCAACTAATCCACGAAATTGATCGACACATCCACCATTGTCATCAGTGAGTTACTACTTCACAACTGACTCGGTGGTGGTTTAACTTCAATTGACTCATGATCTCAACTATTAAAAATTATTATAATATCCACAAAAACCCTTCTGTAATTTATATTTACTGGTGTTTATTTTTATTTATTGTTTTTCTACAGCATAATAATATTGATGTGTATAAACAACTGAATATTATGTGAACCGTTGATGCTCAATTAAAATGTTATACAATAGAACAGTTTGATTGATTGGTTACTTAGTAGTCGAAATAAAATTAGTCTTTCGTTAATTCCTTTTTATAAGTCAACATATATTCATGAATTACTTATTCTATTAACAGAAACTTTTATGATCTAATAATTTCTTTTCTTTTTATGTATATGTATGTTTTTCAGATTAGTTTCTTTCTATCATTTATATTTTGCGCATAAATGAACATTTTTTTTCAAATGAATAATAATATTCTTTAATTAGACCCATCATTAATTGATACCATTAAGGTATATCGAAGTAGTGTTTTTCTAATAACAAAATAGAATTTACAATTATTTTTATTCTATTTATTAATTCTTTAAATTATTCAATGTTTGCCTTTTGTATCTAAACAAGAATTGATTTTATCACTTAACTAGGTATATGGATTATTTATTATTAATCATTATCAAATTGTATCAACATACATTGAATGTTTAATCTTTCGTACATCAATCAAATAATAATGTTTATTTTTCAAATTAAATCATCCTTATCACCATCATTTTTACTTCTTAATAAATGGTATATTTTTTTAAATAATAGACTACTGACTCTCTTTATTTCTACTAATATACAACTTTCATATTAATGAAATGATGCACCATTGCGCATGGATACACTTAGAATGTATTTACATGTACATATATACATAACTATGGTTGCAGATTTTTAAAATAAGAATAAAACAAAGAGAACAGAAAATCAATAAACAATTTCATATATTTCTTGATTAGGTTAATAATTATTTATTTATTTTCTTATTTTAGTTTCTATCCTTGTCAACCTATCTCTCTCCCTTTCCACAAGATCACATCTATAGCAGTTTCTTTTTCTTTCTAAAACTATAAGTTGTTTTCTTATTAAATTGTATCTTCATTTATTTCATACTTCAGTTACATAATTTACAACATATACACTATCCATTTTTTCTTTGTTTGTTTACAACTAATAAAATTATTACCATTTAATTCTTCTTGTAGCATATAAAAGCATATAAAAAAGGTACATACAAACATATACAGGTTTATTTTTTTAAAATATTTCTCGTATATTTGATGATTTCAGCTTTATTAATTAGTAATTTGTTTTCTTTTCAAAATTTGTTGTGTGTTATTTTTTTTATAATCAACACATCCAGCACATGATGTATATATGCAAATATACATAAGGATATCAAGAGGAAAGAATAGAAAGAGAATAAATGATTTTTTTATTTGTTACTATCCTTATTGTTTATCATATTGAAAACAGGTAGTAAAAACCGTAAGCAGTTTGTTTTTGACAGCTATCATGAACTGATATTTGATATTCTGTAGAAAAAGAATAGGAGAAAGCGTAGTGAACTACTGACTTGGAGAGACTGTCTAAATAACCTTGCAACATTGATTATTCCACTTACCAGCCAATGAATACATGTGGAAGCTAAATGGACAGTTTATTAAGTTGATAGACATCAATTCATTGATTATATTATAATTTATTTATATATTGACACACTCGAATAGTCCCAATTATTTGTCACATTACTGGTAGTGTGATTAACCTAAGAACTGACTGTAAACAAGCGTAAAAGAATCAGTCTTCATTGATTTACACTACTGATACACACTAGATTAGAATGGGTGAGTATTCTAAATGTCATTGTATTTATGTGATATCATATTTATTCCATAATAGGATAATAAACTCTTTCTCATCATACCAAATTATCTTCAGAATTCTATGGTGATATCTTCACAATTATTAATTGATCTTTTGATCACCAATATTATTGTTCTAGCTTCGTCCCTAGGTCTATAAATAGTAAGAATAAATTTTATTGATTAATTAGTTTACTATGGATGCATCTAGGCCAGTAAATTTTGTACAGCTGAAAGTAAGCGATGGCATGATGAAGAATGTTTCATTATTTGTAACGTCTTGAAAATTATTTATTTCACCTGACTACATTTTTTTAATGGAAAAGATTCCGTATACACTTTTTATTTCTAGATGCCATTTCCATCTGCTCTTTGTAGTTAGCGTTAAGTAGGTTCAATGATATTAGGACAGATCAAAAGTAGTGAGTGGAAAATTCTGAACTCAAATTCAATCGACTAATATTTATTTCAAATGAAATCAATAAAAAAAACGAAGAAATATATTCTAACAGTTATCAAAGATGTGATGCCATATATAAAAATCTTAAAACAATCACTAGTAATCACACTTCTTGTTAGGAAATTCACCGAATGTACAATAACTGAAGGCAGATTAAAAAGAATTATCGAGACGTAATGAACAGTAGAACTAAATAACCAGTGGAATTTAACAGTGGAAGTAAAAGATTAGTAGTTGAACGAAAAATATTCTTTTCGATAAATTCTCTTCAGGTTCTACAATTATATATCCAAATTAATAATCCGAAAAATCGCCAGGTTAAGAGTAAAGTTTACGATTGTCAAACAAAATAAATAAGATAGAATATAAAATTGTTAATGTTGACATGACTCATATGGAATGTTAACTGGAATCAGTTTATATGCTATGTGGAAATTTAAGATCCATGATTTAATGTACGACTTTTGATCTCTGCCAATATGCTAATCTCTCACTACATAATGACTGTAAGTCGATCTTTCAAAATTTGTGATAGTGGTCTTTAACGCTTCAACCGATGGAAACGCAACCAGAAACAAGGTAGTCAAAAATACTTCCTCCATTTCCGTTACGTGAGAAACACCAGCGCTTGTACTCCGCACGTTACTCTGCTCCATAATGACGATTGAAATTGTGCTTCGTCGACAAGTACTGATAATTTATAACAATTTTCAAGACATAACTAACCAATTAAATCTAATTTTTGAAACTAGCCATTTCATTGGACGAAACACGGGATGAGAAATATTGTAATTTGGGGATGGAAAATTTTTTAATGGGGTGGGGTTTTTTTTAAAAAAAATGGCCGGTCGGACAATATCATTCATTCCTCTGCATACCTAACATTATTATTATTGTCATTATTGTTACTGCTAAAAACTTACTAAATAAATATTTTTCTAATATACATGAGAAAATTATTGATTCAATCAACTGTAAATAAATAACCAGTTGAATAATTGATTTGACATCGAATTGAATAAATTCATTGAAATTAATTATGATCAGTATGGATCAATTAATTAGTGTAAATAACTTTTGATACCAGTGAAATATTGGTATTACAAAATTATTACATAAAGTTATCTACTTAGTTGAATGACTTTTGAAAATAGGATATATTCACAGGGGAATATCTCCATTATCTTCATGAAAATTGATATATCTTGACGAGCATAAAGAATAGTAACTGTTGGAATCTATTTATGGACCAATACTACACATATATTTTTATTGTGTAATTGTTAAGTAACTAAACCACGTATATTCATATTCCTCTTATCATAAGCTTTATTTTGACCTATAAACTGTCATTGTACGATTTACCATTCTTAAGTTATACCCAGCCTATTAATTACTATCTCCTATATTCATAGCTACTTTTGACCATATCTTGTACAAATATTATTTTCTATCCTATGATGTGATGTGGTCTATTTGGTTGGTAATATAAACCCAGTATGTTTGAAATACATGATTCATATCTCAGAGACTGAGATTGGTGTTCTGTTCTTAACGGGTAGGGCTAGGCAGAAAGAATGACCGATAAAGATTCTAGACTGCTCGTACGGGTTTATGCGTCATTGGTTCGGTTGATAAGTCACTGTTCTCTAATTGACGGTATCTTTAAGTTATATATTGACATAAGGCTAAAAGTTATAACAAAAATAGTATAAACTGATTTAGGCAAGGATATTTTATAGTCCTATAAATTAATTCAGAGCCAAAACACGATTGGTAACTCAAAAAATATTATGACGATGACACTGTGATGTATTACATCAATACGACTGCAGTGGCTCCTCGTTTTACAAGTAATAAGTGATTCCGACATAACAATCATTGACGACCATAACGAATTGGCGACAGGAATTTTGAGAAAGCCAAAACAATCGCTGACGGAGTCAATTCACAAGTTTCAGTTTCCAATATGACTGTCTGGTCACAGTTATAGCTCAGTTGCCAGTTCGACTTACATCAAATCCTGTTTCCTCAGTTATAAATATACTTCTGGTTTTTTTATCAAGTTGCTGTTACAACAAACGCCGAGGTTACTGGTGTAAGAACATGTTGACATCAGCTGCAGATGTAAAATCAATGCTTCAGTTTTAGGAAGTCGTGTTCATGAGATCTCATTTAATGCTCATCGGTGCATTGAAAGAACACATAGTTAAGCAATCTTATCCGGAATTGTACTCAGGAACTATAGATATATTTAACGAAGTAACTGATATATTTCCTTTTGCAATAAAAAACAGTTTTGTGACTGAGGAAGAGGTCAACGAACCCTTTAATGAGGTTAACTCCCGGCATTTTTCAAATGTTCCTCTCATTCTAATTATCGAATCACGTAGAGTGAAATTCAAAACTACTGTGAGACAAAGGTTTCAGATGAATCAATATCTGATAAAATTTCTAATGACGTTATATCAGTTGCTGACAGTCTTAATGATTCATTAGTTTTTAATAAAGTCCTTAATGAATTTGAGAGAAATATTTCAAGTGAATCTAATTCTAGCAATATTATAACAAATGTTGCTTGTTCTCACAATGCATTTGTTTCTAGTGAAAACCTTGGTCAATATGAACCGCAAATTCTCAATAAGTTCAACTTTAATTATAGTTTTTATGGTTCCATATCAAATGTTATTTATCCTCACAATCCGTTGACTCCTAGTCAGTGTGAGAAATATGTTTTAAATGAGTCACAGTTCAAATGTTATTGTAGCAGATGTTGGTTGCTCTCATACTTCATATGTGTCACGTAGAATTCCTACTCAATGCTATGATGAATC